CCATGGCTGCACAGGAGCTCCGCTGGCTGACCTACCTGCTGACCGACTTGGGGGAGCGGCCTTGTTCTCCTCCGGTTCTGTACGTCGACAACAAGGCAATGCTTGCCTTGTGTCGCGAGCAGAGACATGAGCACAGAACGAAGCACATTGCTCTGCGCTACTTCCTTGCGCGTGAGCTGCAGCAGCGTGGTCAGCTGCGCCTTGCTTTCGTGGCCTCTCGGGCCAACACTGCTGATGTCTTCACCAAGGCCCTTGGGGCTGGTGATCATCAGCGTTTCTGCACTGCTCTTGGGCTTGTGCCCACTCTACCTCACCTGCTGGTTGCTTGAATTGCTCTTGTTGTACACTGCTATATATATTTATACCTGCATGTTTACTCTTGCTAGGTTGTGATCAGTGTACTGTCTTGCTATTATAACTCTGCAGGTGGACTGGCCTTGTGGCCGCCTGCTTGTGCTCAGATTGTGTGGTGTCCTTGAGATCCATCCTGGGCTTTGTCTTGCTTGTTCTCTTGTTGACTGGTCTTGTGACCACTGTTACCGTATTCTCCCGGACAAAACACCCCCCCGTAATTGTACACCCCCGGGTAGCTTGTGCGGGGTGGGTGTTATGATAGACCTCGTTTCTACTATACCCCCCTTTTTGGCTGATTTTCTATAACACCCCCCTTTTCTTACGGATTCATTATTATAGTCGTTAACGAGTAGCTGTAATACGGAAGAATATCGCGTGAATTTCTCAATGAAATTCCGCGGTACATTCAAATGCAATCTGCCGAGATTTGCCCACTCCCACTATTTCGCTGTCGCCACGTGCAGGTGAATCTTCCGCTGCAAGTGGCAAGGGAGGTGCCACATGGCATTTTCGTGGGGGTGATGAAGTTCGAGGCCGAAACTCACATTCGCGCCTCAGGCAGTGATGTTAAAATGACCATCAAAACACCCACATTGACTAATGAAAAAAACACTAACACTAAAACATGCCATATGTAAAGACCCGGGTATTATGTATTTTTTTCCTATGAGAAGACCCCCCCCATTTTTTCCCTGTATTTTTAGCTATACCCTAGGGTGTTATGTCCGGGAGAATACGGTAGGTTTGGCTATCCCCTACTTCACCTATGGGGGTGTGTCAAAACATAGAGTTATATCTATTTCACTCTAGGTTGTGTAGGGGTCATCCCTTAGAGGGTACAACCCAATTCTCTCGACACTCTTGTACTCCCTCACCCTTACCTAATCATCATTCCTCACCTAGCTAGTGATTCTAACACGCAATACTTTGGGAAATATTTTCTTCCCTCATTTTCGCAGCGGGGTTCAAGTTCACGATAACCTAATGAAGCAACTTCAATAGATACGGCGAACAGCGTATACTGCGTTGGGTAGTGTTATATTTTTGCTGAATAGGTCCTGCAAACCTATCAACAAAAAATGATTGAGATAGCAGTACTTCACATAAGCAAAACCAGTACAGCAAATGGTATTTCGGAATAGCATAGTACAGATGTGCACAATTGCTTCTTTTTCCTTTTAGTAAGCCATTTTTTTCAGGAACAAAAACTTTCATTGCATATATAATCGCACAACATGTGTATGATACGGGATATAAAAAGATACTTTCACAGCCCACCTCCTCCTCTACTCCCTCCTCTGAGCCCTCGTGGTTTTCTCAACACTCGCGCCAACCCACCAGATACCCTTGTTAAACTCCTATCAGCCCACTTGCTTCTAACATACCATACGTACTCCCTCCTGACCACTTTCCCGGTCATGTGGCAGAGCAAATTGTACATTTGACAGTCTCTTTGGCCTTCGTCCGTGGTCCGAAATCATCTCTACCCTTTCTCTTGACTCAAAACTGGTAACATGTGCTACCACCAGGTACAGTTTGGAAGTACTGAAGCCCACACACCTTACCCTAGCTATCCATACTCACATTTATATCCAGCCCTCTATTGAAGTTTGAGCACAACCTGACTGGTTCGTGATCAGTTCAGGTTTTCTGAATGCCTCGGGCTCTCATCTCACATCAACCCCAGACAAACTGGCTTTTAAACTACCACATTCCTGCACGCAAGACACAGAAACATTTTCTTTTTAGGAACAACCAGCAACAAAGGGCCAACATCAAAAGAAAGACGGAGTTTGGGGGTTTGGAGGTGGCGTACCTCATCAGGCGAGCCAGTGCATACTCTGACAAAAGGGGCTTGCAATCTTCTCCAAACGTACTTTAGGCCATGAAAAAATCGGATCAAAAGGTTTTGATCACGTGTATAAGCATGGTGATTGGATGCCTGAGCTTCGAAAGAGGTTTCCAGTTGCGATGACAAGTGGAAGGGCGAGGAGTGGAGTGGTAGGATCTTGTCACAAAGGCTATGCTCAAGCAGGTCTCTTGGGCCAACTGCAAAGAGTCCAGGATGATCCATTAAAACACAGGTTAGAAGCCGTTGGGCCATTATGTACTGAACATTACCGGTAACAATCCAAGGAACTGTGCTCATACCGTTGTCCTCCAGCTTGTGCTCAACAAAGTAGTAGACCAGAGGTACAACGTACCTGGAAGTGGACATATGAAGGAACTGTCAGCTCAAACGAAAATAACAAACGAACATGCTGTTTCAGAAGCTTTCGGTTCTTACCATGCAATGACAACGTCCACTGTGTAGTGCTTGCGTGAAGCGATTATCAAGACCGACATAACTCCAGACAATAACCATGACAGGTGCTTGAAGAATCTGAAAAGGCAGCAATGAAGACAAAGTCAAGCAAGACGCAGGCTCACAAGATGTCATCAGATGATCAGACACACGAACTCATCCAGCAGAATAAAACAAGGCAATCCGGTGAATGTACGGACTCACAGATTGGTTCCATATCTGGAGTAGGTGATGACAACAGTGAGGATGAATGTCATGTGGGAGGAAAAGATGAGGTCACCACACCCATGCATGGCTGCGGCAACCACAGGTACAGCAATACGATAATGGTTACAAACTGATGACAAGAAAGAAGAGAAAATGACGTATTAAAATTCCGCTCTGTTCAATGCATGCCTATAACAATGCTTCGCCTACCATTGAGGTACAGCACGTCCTGGATTCCAGTGTATTTAAGGATAGCTGTGGGAGATCCCTGCACGTTCATAATGACCAGAAGTATTACACAGAAGCCGAGCTCTGAAGGAGAGGGAAAATGAAAATTGATGCTAGGCATACCTGTCTACAATGATGTGCAGGACCAGGTAGTTGTGTTGCAGTGAAGGACAGTACTCGAAAAGTCTGACACATCTGTCAAGGCACCCGTTTAATCCACAGTTACCATCAGCAATCACTACCAGACACACAAGCCGAGACAAGGAGACCTTAAGCTAGCCTCTTACCACAAATACTGTAAGAATTTTGCACCACACAAGCACAGTGTAAAATTGCTTCTTGGTGCACACGAAGGGATGGAATGTCCACTGAGACACGAAAAAAGAAAGTGTCAGTTGATACCAAAAGAGCAAAAAGGATACCAGATGCAATAATCGACCACTTCTCCTTGAACAGTGACCATTCAGCAGCCACCTCTAATCGTATTCGACGACAGAGCTGCGAAAGATCAAAAGGATGGCTTGTATTATCACATATATCCGACGAGGCACTGATGAGATGGAAGGAGATGAATAAGGGCTATTTCCGCGACAAACGCTAGGGAGCAGCTTGCCTTGCATAAGGTCCTGCTCGCAAACGAAGGGAACCCGTAAAGCACCATCGCACCAATCGCATCTAGTAGAAACTGACGGAAGCTTCAGTGCATGTATACGCGAGTCACAAAGGGCTAAGCTTGAGTTAACGGCAAAAGTGGCACCAAAGAGCATACCTAAAAGACGGAGGCCAGCGTCGCCCTCAAATTTCTGCTTGGAATCTAGAAACTCCAGCCGCCATAGCGAAAGCGACGAGTAAAGTTCTGGGTGAGAAATGGTTCACAACAGCTGGTGAAGCCGGGAGGAAGCAGACATGCACGCGGTCCGGTAGCCTTAACGACCATCCCAATGCCAGCATCCCGACCCCACGTCAAGTCGCCAGGCTGGTCTGACGTGGCATCGCAGATCTGGCTCTGGCGGTCCGATTCGCGTGAAGTGCTGGTCAACTGAGCTTTCTGGCACAGGTTATGGGTGAAACAGTAAACGGCAATCAGTCAAGTCGTGTCTCAGAATGAAAACGTCACGGTTTCCGTTCGTAACTCCGTTTGTTGCTGACGTCGGCCCAGCTGGTCGCAGCAGCTGGCCGAAGTTCCTAATAGGCATCAGGACCTGCGAGGCAAATTCGACATCCCCAAGGCTGACGCCAGCAGCACAAACTCCGAGCTTGCTTCAGCTTGAAGGCTGAACAAGAAGTGCCAGCTGAACTAAACACTGTGTACGCGTTTCCAAGTACAGATTTGAGGCAATATCGAAACACTAAAGTATACGGTTTGTACATATTTGTTTATGCACGTTTGTCCTCTCCATTACATCACTCAGCTTGCATTCTGTGAACTGACGCTGTGACTTGACGAGTCCCTTCCATTTCTTCAACTCATGTCCAGATTCCAAACCAAGCCAAGATGCTGTGCTGCAATGGCTCCACTCCACGTACCTACTGTCAATGAGCCCATCTGTTCATTTATGTGAAGTCCACGGAGTGTGCTCTAGAAATAACTTATTGTCATCATCTGCCAGTCCATGTCAGTGGGGATGAACAACTTCAGCGGAAAGTAACTTCGAATCTCTGTTGCCTGATGGCTCCGACAGTCGCATTGTCCGCTCCTCTGTCATACCTATCCACATCCCGTATCAGAGTTGCCGTTCGAGCCTCCGTTAGACAGTCAAGCCACGGCTCAAGCAAGAAGCTTCACATTTTCCATATTCCAGCACCTGTAGATGCGCGAATCTCGCCAATCAGGCATCGGCCGTCGCCGCTTTCAGTATGCAGGTCGAGGAATTTCGACGACATCGCAGAGCCGTTGAGTCCCGAAATGATCGACGACTCACCGACCGACCACCCCGCACCGCCTCCTGACGCGGCGACATCAGAACAGCAAGCCGGAGATGTGTCTGGAGCAGCGGAATTTCAGCATCCGGACGTCAGTAACCATGGAGCTCCCATGCCTGAAGCCAACCAGCCGTCCGCCGGCGGTACTGAGCGTTTTGACATTCCTCACACCAATGTCTTGTCGCAGTCGGTCGCAAATCGCGACAGCTCGCTCGAGTCGTCACAATCTTTGCAATCGTCGCTGGCAAAAGACTGGTCCGCCGCGCATCAGTCACCTCCAGTCACTGCGGTTACCGGCGTTACATCTGATGACGTAATCAACGGCGTGCAGTCATATGCTGGCGCATCTGTCGCGTCGAGCAGCGGTGGGGAGAAGAGCCTTGCCGAGGCGGAAGCAACGGTTGCAGGGACGAGCGAAGCTGTGACGATTGCGGCAGCGGCTGGTGATGCGGCAGCAGTAGCAAGGGGAGCGATTGGGGAGATGGAAGGGAGGAGTGGGGGTGGCGTACCGGGCGGGGAAGGCGTGGGGGTTCAGTTGCAGCAGGCGCAGGCGCAGCTGCAGGCGCAGCTTCAGGAGCAGCTGCAAGCACTGGAAAACGTGCTGTCGCTGCTCGGACTAGGCGTCGCTTCTGCTTCGAATTCGCGGGGTCCTGCGGAGCTGGGGGAGGAGTGGGGGGATGGCGCAAGCGGAACGGCAAATAGGGTTGAGGGACAAAAGGAGCGCGCGCGTCGGAGAAGAGAGGATCTGGCCATGGCGCGATCAGCGAGTAGGTTAAAGCGCAAAAGTAATGCAAAAATAGACTATAATACGGGGAGCATCGGACTTGGCAGCGGCGGCAACAGGAGCGCCATGGGTGACAGTGACGGGAGCGACAGTAGCAGTGACAGAGATACTGCATTAGGGTTCACTGGCACAGGGAGTCAGCCGTTATCGACTCGTCCTTTAGAGAATCGAAGTAAGCAGTACCAAGCCGATCCTGCCAGTCAGCAATCTTCCCCCCTCGCTTCTCCCGCCTCCAGCGATACTTCGTCCGCCCCTTCCCCGTTCGCCTCCCCCTCGGGCCCGGAAGCAGAGGGCGCGGAGCGGAAGGTTCTAGAGCGCGCAGTGGTGGAGATGGCGCTGCTGCAGGAGGTGTCGCGCGGGGGGATCGAGGGCTCCACTCTGGAGGAGGAGTGGGGGGAGCTGCGCCAGGCCGTCAGCCAGGACCCGCAGCTCTCGCGACTCTATAACGAGTACGCGCGCGACGCGCTTCTGGAGCGCGAGGAGCAGCGGCGGCAGGAGGCGGGCGGGGGGAGGTGGAAGGTGGACGCGCGGGGGAGGAGGATCAGGAAGCGGAGACGAGGGCGGAGGGCGGAGGTGGAAGGGGAGGAGGGGATGAGCAGCAAGGCGCGGACGGAGGAGAGGCTGAGGCGGTGGCGGGCGGGGGTGGTGGCGGCGGCGACGCAGAGCACAGTGGTGGAGGTGGCGATCATGGTGGTGCTGACGGTGCTGCCCATTGCGGCGGGCGCGTTTGTGTATGTGAACGTGCAGGAGTGGCTCAAGGCCGTGGCGCCACAACCTGCTGTTGTGGAGAAGGAACCCTGGTGAGGCTGGGAAGGGTGTGGAGAAGTTGAGAGGGGTGTGGTGAGGCAGGAAGACGTGGCGGCGCGTGTGAGCAACGGTCATGAGCTGTCAGGGAGATATGATCACCCCAAACAGCAGCATTCCCATTCCAGCCGCACCATATTGATGTACTTCCCTTCCCTCTGCCACCTGCTCACCTTGTCCCCAATCGCCCGTGCTCCTCCCGTGCACGCCATCAGGTGGATGCTGTTCGGTCCAGCAGCCAGTGCAGCGGGCACGGTGTTTGGCATGGCAGGGCTGGGCTTCGCAGCCAAGACAGCAGCAGCGGCGCCGGTGGCGGTGGCAGTGGTGCCGCAGATGGACGCCCTCTGGCGCTCCTTTGGAGGCGCTAGCCTGGTGCGCCTACCCTTCTCCTCACGTTCCATCCCGTCCTCACCATTGTTTTCCGCTTCAATCGAGATTTCTCAAAACAAATACCAACCGTGTTTCGCGCTCTCCCAGCGCTCTGCGAGACGCATGCATTGCCTTCAGAGTCGCTCCGTTCCCACCTTTCCCGGTGTGTCCTCTGCAGGTGGCGCTGTACTGGCGCACGCTGGTGTTTGGCAAGACGTTTCGCAGCATAGAGTGGGACCTGGAGGCGTACGATGCGCCCAACGGCAACATGAAGTCCATCACCATCCGCGTGCCCTCCCTCGTCAGTCTCAACCGACCCCACTTCATTCCACTCCATCACAACACCACTGTCTTGACCTCTTGTGTTTTGTGGGCTGAAATGAAACTAATATAGCTACTGTTACTCATTTTCAGCATTTCAGTTTGTTACAAATGTAGAGGCCAACCAGCATGGGAGGTCCTCTTATAAGACATTCAAATCACTTCCTCTGCGCCTCACATCAACCCCCCCTCCACACCCCCCCTGTGCTCTTCTCCTCCACTCGGGCAGAACGCAGTGCGTACCAAGATAGCGCTGGCAAACGGGCTTGCGGGCGCCAGTGAGGTGGAGCAGCTGGCGCTCTGGATCCCCAACTCCGGGGACTTTGTGGTCAGTAACTCACTGCACCACCTCCCACCCAGCTCCACACATTGTGTTTGCAAAGTTGTATCTGCCCCTTTGCTTGTGTCCTTCACTGTATGTTCCGACCACTCTGTTTCCGGCCTGCCTGCCTAGGACCCCTGCCTGCGCTCCCTGCTCCCTTGCTGCCCCACGCCGTCTCTTCCGCCCAGGAGCCCCTCCACCTGTCCAAGGAAGTAACTCCCATTCTTGCCATCTCTCAACCATGACTCGAATGTTACTGTCCCTCCCGCTCACAGGAGCCCCTGCGCCTGGCCAAGGACCTGGCGCTGATTCCGGACTTTGGCTTTGTCATCTGGTCGCGCACCCCCGCCTCCCTGCACTGCCTGCCCTCCCGCGCTGCCAAGACCATGCCCTCGCCCACCGCCGCAGCAGGCTCCGCGGGTGCAGCTGGGGGTGGAGATAGCAAGGCCACGGCAGCAGGTGTTGCCGTTGGAGGGAAGGCTGGTGGTAGCGACAGTGAGGCCGCGAGTGTAGGTAGCAGCATCAGCAGTAGCGGCAGTTTTAGCAGAAGCAGCAGCAGTAGTAGTAGCAGTAGCAGTGAAAGTGATGGATTGAGCACTGGTCGCAGGAGTAGTTGGGTGGATCTAGGAGTTGGGAGTGCGGGAGATGATTTTGTGAGAGGTGACGGTAACGGTGGCAGCAGTGCTTGGGGTAAGCAGAGAGAGGCGCCAGCAATGCCAGCAGCAAGAAATGGAGGAATGCAGGCTTCAGCACAGCCAATGGTGCGAGACCAAGTGGCCGCCAATGGTGCAGTTGCTGCTGCAGGAGTCACAAGCCCTGGAATGGTGTCGGGACTGCTATCACCATCAGCACCAAGCATTCCACCAGCATCACCAGCCCCAACAACCGCAACGCAATTACCAGGGAACGTGTCACCTGCAGCAGACGCTCCACTTGCACCAGCACAACAGCCACCACCACTACCACCAGCAGCAGCAGCCACATCCGTGCAGCCACTGAGGATGACTCCAGGCACATCAGCACCTGCTTCTGCTGCTGGTGATAACAGCCGGCGTGACAATAGGGAGAGACAGGGAGTACAGGGGATGAGTGATGCTGACATAGCTGTTGCCATGATCCAAGTCATTGTAACCACCTCTGCAACACTGTCCGTCACATCTCCTCCCCATTCACATGCCGCTTCCTCCTCCCCAACCTTGTTACCCAATACGGCACAATCACAAGCTTTTTCGCCGGCCCCATCAGCAGCACCATCAGCACCAGCAGCACCAGGCTCAGCACCAGGCTCAGCAAGCTCAGGGCCAGTTGCGGATGGGCCCTCTAATGGCAGTGTCCGTGCTCTCGAGTCATTCAATCAGCCACCCTTCACAGCGAGCGCAACGGAAGCTGCTTCTTCCCGCCTCTCGCCATCTAGTAAATTAGAGCAGTCAGGACGAAAGGGCGAAGGGATAGATTCAGGAGATACTGGGCAGGAGGGAAGCGGAGGGGAAGAGAGGAGGGAGGAGTCTTGGGTGCTGGTAATGTCTGAAGAAGAACAGGATGAGTTGATTGAGAGGGCAGCTCAGTGCGACCCCGTGTTGATTGTTCTCTTCAGAGCCTTGTCGCATGATCCCCAAAGGTTCATGCGCCATGCCTTGTATCACATTAGAAAGTGAGTCTGCATGCGTTTGTACAGGTGTTAGGCTTGGTGTCTGGCTTGTTTGTGTGTATTATTTGTAATGCATGCACTTCCCAAAGATGTGGGTGTCAGTCAGGCTTGATATGTGTCTCATGTACTATAATTTGTATAGCATCGCAACGATTGTAGGATGCGGTGTAGAGAAATGAAAGGCCCTGGTGAAGTTCTGTTTCTCATCACCTGTCTCGATTTCCTCACCGCCACTGCAGCGCCTTCCCTCTCGCTTGGTTCCTTCACTGCAGCGTCTCTTGCGCTGAGATTTCAAGAGAGTCTCTCTTTGCTCGTTGTCACTGCGTGTTTGCTGGAATTAGGTCAGCGGGGATCACTTAGCGTGAACATTTCAGCTATATCTTGCGGTAAATCTGGTGTGGTATTCGCAGTCTCTGGGTGCTCCTCGTGTCGCTGACTTCGAAGAACTAGGGTTTTGAGGAATAAACTCTAGCGGTATCATTACTTTTTTTTTTCTTGTCTGTCGCTCGAGATATGGCGGCCGTAGATCAGACCGAGACAGAGACGAACATAGCAGCGGCGGAGAAGGCGGAGACAGGAGAAGTGGCGACGGAGAGCGAAGCGCTGGTGAAGCATCCGTTGGAGCACCGCTGGACGCTCTGGTTCGACAATCCGCAGCAACGCGGGAAAAGCGGTGGCTCGTGGGGAAGCTCGCTCCGCGTGATCTTCACCTTCGGAACCGTTGAGGACTTCTGGTGGTGCGTGGCTCAACGTGGCGTTCACTCGCCTGTATCGCCAAACTCCCGTCCTTAAGTCTTTGTTGAGCTGTCTCCAAGCAATCAATGCTAAGCGAATCGTTTCCTGGTGGTTTGACTCTTAAGGGAGTGCTCTGGACCGTCCGCGATCCTTGTCACCTCGCGATTCCTATCGCCAACCCTCGTTTATGCCGTCTTGCCGTATCTTTTTATGTTTCGGGCAGTTTATACAACAACATAGTGCAGCCGAGCAAGCTGATGAACAAGGCGGACATGCACCTGTTCAAGGAGGGCATTCAACCCAAGTGGGAGGATCCCAAGTGCGAGAAGGGCGGCTCCTGGACCATTTCCTGCTCGCGGAGCAAGGAGTACCTCGATAACATGTGGCTGCACTTGGTGAGACGTGCCTTACTTCCTGTGTGCACCCAAAGGTTTACGTTAGGTCACTTCTTGGTTTGACAGGGTAAGTACTAGAGTCACGCCTTTTCCGTCATGTTACCATGTGCAGGTAGTCTTCATGCGTGCTGACCTCCTCCTTCGTTTACAATATTTTCCCGTCATCCCACATTGCATGTCCAACCAACCAACCAACCAACCAACCAACCAACCAACCAACCAACCAACCAACCAACCAACCAACCAACCCTGGTGCCACACCGGAATGTCCTGCAATGCAGATGCTGGCGATGATTGGCGAGCAGATCGACGAGGGCAACGACATTTGTGGCGCCGTGGTGAGCATTCGACCAAACAAAGACAGAGTGGCGCTCTGGACTAAATCGGCTGCCAGCGAATCCATTCAGGTACACCTGAAGCTTCCATGCTTGCACTGCAGCTTTGGTTCCACCGCTGTGGGCTTTCGACCTGGCATGTAATGGCAATCTTGTATTTTCTTCCGATTTTGGGTGCAGACGAGCATTGGCAAGCAACTGAAGGAGATTCTGGGCTTGACGGAGCAAATCGGGTTCTCCTCTTTTGTAAGCTTGGCATGATGTCTATGAGAACGTTGCTGCTCTGTTGCTTGCTCCTGCTGCTATATGACAGTTTTCGGAGCAGAAATGCCTTGTGTTCTCTGACGCATTTTCTTTTCCTGTGCAGGCGGACCAGAAAGGGTCAAGGTCAGCCTCGGATAAGTACTCTGTCTAGCTTTGCACACTAGCTTGTCTCCTTGTCACTGTATGGCCTGCTTTGTTCAAAATTGCACAAAGCTCCTGTGGGGTTTCCAGTTACGGTAGTTGTGCATTTTTGTGATTGGTCAACTCGCAGCAGAAGCAGCATCTGCTGCACTGTCGACCAGAAAGTCATTGATGCACATGAGAGTGTTCTCATCTTTAGTTGTATGCCTAATGCCAACTGTACTTGCAATCCATTTAGTTTAATTTCGTCTCAAAGCTGTGCACTAGGTGGGGGCTACCGTATGTAGAGGATTTCATAAGGCAGTCCTATCTTGAATTGGACCCCATCCAGATCGCCAGAACGGACTGGCTTATTCTTCCATTCTATAGTTTCCACCGCTCACCACCGCCGTCAGTAACTAGTCTAGACGCTGCATAGTTTCTTAGGTGGTGATGCCTGGTGCTGTTAGCAACTGCATCGCGTTGCTAGGCTGAGCAGATTACTGCTCCAAACATCTAGATCGCGTTTAGTTTCAAGCTATCGGAGCCATGGCGAAGCAGTCGTCGTCGGAGTCGGGCTCCGACTCCAAGTCCAAATCGAAGTCCAAGTCTAAGTCTAAGTCGCCCTCTTCGTCCGACTCCGGCTCGTCTCGCTCGCGCTCCTCCGCGTCGCCCTCTCGCTCCGATTCAGCCTCGTCCAGAAGCCGCAGCCCGCCGCCTAAGAAAGGGTCTGTGCAGCCGTAGATCGCGGGTCATGTTCTCGTCAATGTCCCCTTTCTCAATTCCGGATCGCCATAGATTGCTGGACATTTTCTCTTCATTAACTCACTCTCAGTTCCGGATCGTCAACCTTGGTGTTTTTAGTTGGTGTAACTTCCCGTTTATGAGTGTCAGAGATTGAGTTCCTGGGGTGAGGGATTTGGTACCAAGTGTGTGCGATCGTGTGTCGTGCGCGCGTGTCACTGTCGTGCAGTGCGAGGCCGACGACAGAGCCGAGCAAGAAGAAGCGAAGCCCGTCGCCCAATGACAGGTGTGCTGGCGTCGCCGCGTGCGCTCCTCAAGTCCCCTTGTGCTCGTCGTGACGGCCTAGAACCTTGCCACTTACTATGTGTTCGTCGTTCCTCATGTGCTCGTCTCATTCACTCCCCATGTGCTCCTGTGTATGCACCCATGCCCCCACCATATCCCCACCCAAATTTCATCTCCCCCTTACCTTTCTCCCTACCCGAAATCCGCATGGCGGCAGGAAGCGGTCGGCGACGCCCGAGACGACGATGCTGTACGTGGGGTGCCTCACGCGCAACGTCAACCAGGACCACCTGCGCGAGATATTCGGTGAGCGCCGCACCGCACCGCACCACCCCATGCCGTGCCGATGTCGTTACGCTCGCCATGCCATTACGCAAAACTTGCTGATCGATACGGAGCTTGTCGCATCTCGTCCTCTCTGACCATTCCGTCGCGCTCTCCCTAACCCCCCTGTCTGTGTCCGCGAGCAGGGCTGTACGGCGAGCTGAGCAAGGTGGAGATCGCAATGGACCGCGTCGTGAGTCGCCCTCGCCTTCTCCCCCACCTGCTTGCCTCATCCTTGCCTTCCCTTGCCTTGCCTTTCGATCTCCCTCGCTCTCACGTGCTCCTGCGCGATGTCTTTCTGCGCATCCCCTCTCCACCCTCCATTCGTTCCTGCATTTCGGTCACTCCGTTTCCACTTCCTTCATCGTTGCTCACTCCGCAGCTTGCAGGCGTCCGCATTTCGCTCACTCGTCTCGCCATCACTCATTTTGCTCCTCTCTCTCACCTTCCCAACGCCCCTCTCTCTCCTTCCGCCTTTCCTTCAATTGTCGTTATGTCGGCGCACGTGCTGGTGCTGCTCGTCGCAGGTGAACCTACCCAAGGGCTACGGGTACGTGGAGTTCAAGAAGCGCGCCGATGCGGAGAAGGCGCGCCTGCACATGGATGGGGTGAGTTTCTGTGCTGCGCGGGAATGTTTTCCATCCCTCTGCACCCCTGTCCATGCCCGCTCATCCCTTTCCATCCCCTCCCATCCCTTCCTATCCCCCTTCATCCTTTCACATTCATCCTGATTCTTTACATCCCTTCGCCCTCCTTGCGCCCCCTCCCCCCCCCCCTCCCCCCGCGCATCCCCCCCAGGCGCAGATCGATGGCAGTGTGGTCAGCGCGCAGTTCGTGCTCGCGCCAAAGCCCGTGCGCCGCCCAGAACCTCTCCCCCCGCCGCCCCCCCCTCGCCGCGCCGTCGACTCCCCCCCGCGCCGCCGTGCGGACTTGCGGGACCGCGACAGGCCGAGCGACAGGGACAGGGGGGACCGGGGGGACAAGGGGGGGGAGGCGGAGCGGGTCAGGGAGGGCGAGCGGGGGGGCAGGGGGGTGTCGCCGCGGCGGAGGTCCCCCGCGAGAGCAGGCGGCGCAAGGGGAAGGTCGCCGTCCCCGCCCCGAGGGGGAAGGAGGCGCTCGCCCGTGCGGTACGTGGGGGGACACGGGGGGCGGGAAATGGCGTGTGGGGCTGGTGGTGCGGTTGGTTGGTGGGTGAGCAACGACGCTTGGATCACCCAGCCCAGTGTTTTCCCTGCAGCTCCTGTTCCCCGTGCTTGTGATGCGCCTTGCTTCCTGCTTGTGTGTACTTGGGAAAGTGGGAAGGGCGCAGGAGGAACAAGGGGCCATTGTCAGATCCATTTGCCGTTTGATGCGTGGATCACCCAGTGTTTCCCCTCCATCTCCTTCTCTCCCCGTGGTTGTGTTCCCCCGTGCTTCCGCCCTCTCCGCGCCCTGCAGCTCCCCCCCTCGCAGGCAGCGCAGTGCCTCTCCCCCTCGCCGCGTGAGAAGCCCCCCCAGACGCCGCTCCCCCATCCCCTTCCGCGGCCGCAGGTACCCGCCCTCCCTACCCTACCCTCCCCACCCTCCCCACCCTCCCCACCCTCTCCGCCCTCCCCACCCTCTCCGCCCTCCCCGCCCTCCCCACCCTCCCCGCCCTCCCCACCCTCTCCGCCCTCCCCACCCCCCCTGCTATCACCACCCTCTCCACCCTCCCTTCCCATCTTCCTCGCCCTATCCACCCTCCCCATCCTCCTCACCCTTCGCACCCTCCCACCATCCCCATTCTTCCGACCCTCCCCAACCTCCTCACACTCACACGCTCGTGTCACGCTGTGACCCTGACTTCAACTTACTATCCTCTCCTCCATTTCAAAGCTTCACCAACCCGTCCCCCTTCTACGCTACCTGCCATCCCTCCTCTTTATTCCACCTCCGCCCCTCATTCCCACTTTTTTTTTTGTTTTTTTTTTTGTTCTCCTTCACCCACTCAACTGCACACTCACCTTCACCTCACTCCCTCGTCTGCTCCTCCCCGTTCCTCCTCTCCCCACTTCTATCCCCCATCCCAGGTCCCCCCCCCCCTCGCCGCCGCTCCTCCCCCGCTCGTCGGCCCTCCCCCCCACGCCGCTCGCCCCCTGCTCGTCGCTCCAGCCCAGGCCCAATGCGCCGCCGCTCTCGCTCCCGCACTCGCTCGCGCTCCCCGCCCTCTCGGCGCCAGCGCCTGCCCCCACCACCGCCCGCCCGCAGGTCAGCTCCCACCCCAGCCCTTCCGCTCTTGTGCTCTCCTCCTCTTTCTTCTCTCCCACCTCTTTTTTGCTTCCCAGCCCCTTCATTTCTGGGCTCGTCGGCCGGATCCCTCTTCGCTCTCGCCCGCTTCCTCGTCTTCATCCCACCCGTCCTTCCGCTGACCCTCGGTTTCCCCCCATGCCTGGTTGCCCTCCGTGTCCGTCCGCCCCCCGCGCAGGCCGGATCGCTCGCCTCCGCCCAAGAGGGCGCGCTCAGAGTCGCCCTCGTCCTCCTCCGCCACGTCCTCCTCTGATGGCGACCGGCGCAGGGTGAGTCACGGGGGGAGGAGGTAGGGACGTTAGTGGCAAGGCTGGCTTGGGGCTTGGGGTGGGTGTGTTGCAGCAGTGCATGGAAGGGATGGGGGAGATGGTTGAGCCAGGCGAGAAGTGGCTGTTTTGTGCTGTGTGGGCCGTGAGTGCCTTGGATTTTGGACACGGTGGGTGCATGGGGGTGTTTAACAGTCTGCCTGCAGACGTGGAGGTTGCTCAAGTTTGAGCACTTGAACGGACTGCTTTCCGTGCTCCTCTCCTCATCCCTTCCCCACCTTCCACCCCGAAACATCGCCTGTGTGTGCAGAGGTCGCCTCCTCGCAAGCGGGCAGCCAAGAGCAGCCCCAGCAGGTGAGCTGTGAGGGTCGCTGGAGAGCAGAGGAGAAAGCGAAGCTGCTTGGGGGCTTCCTGAGTAAGGCGAGGTTGCAGTTGGGGTGAGAGCTGGGCGGACTCAGAAAGGAGCGATTGGAGCTTGAGTTCACCTCTGTTGGTGCAATGTTCATTTGAAGCAGAATCATGGCATGTTGCCATGGCACATGCCATGCAATGAGCTCATGCCATGCAAGCATATGTCAAGCTGTTCGCCCTCATCATGCTATGCTATACATCGGCCCCATGCCATGCACCAATGGGCTGGGCCGTGGCTTTTCCTTCCCTCCGTTCCCCCAGCCATGAGTCTATCGCGCACATCAGGCAAGGCTCTCTACTGAAATCGCACGGGGCTAGCCTGTGCCATGCACCGATTGGCCGTGGCCCTTACTTTCCGCCTTTCCCCATTTCTGCCCTCACCTTCCTACTTGCTCCTTGGAAATCGCATGGCAGATGTGAACCTCTCATTCATGCCTGCTCTTCAACCCTCTCTTCCACCCTCAAATGCGTTCTCCCCCCCCCACCCTGAACAACCACATGATGACATGGCAGGTCCAACAGCTCTCACTCCTCCAGTGACTCGGATTGATTCGCTTTCATGCACGTGTTGTTAGGGTGAGTGTGGCGATGGGGTAGGAGAGGAAGGAGGAGGGTAGGGAGAGGGAGAAGGGAGAAAGGAAAAGGGAGAGAGGGGGGAGGGGAGGGAAGTGAGAAGGGGGGGGGGAAGCATGTCGTTTGCAGGGAGTGCATGTTGTTTGCAGCGAATGCATTGACAGCATTTGTCTGTGTGCCCACATGCTTCTCCAACCCTTCATGATTCCTCTCCTCTCCCCTTACCTCCATTTCCCCACATCGCAGGCTGATGCTGGCATTGCACTGCTCCCTGCCTTACCATGTCATGCCATGTGTCAGTGGTTGGTTGGTACCATGTGTCTGCATGTCTGTCAGCCTGTGATGCATGTGTCTGCACGATCATTGCTGCATCTCCATTCCTCTGCACCATGTGAAAGTTGGTTTCACATGCATGGCCAACTCAGCATTCCAGGTTTGCACGCACATGCATTAACACACATCCAAGAAGCATCTCCTTCTGCTTTCACGTTTTGTCAGTTTCTCTGATCATCAGCATCACCCTGCACTTCCATGGATTGCTGTGACCATTTGACTATCCCGTCACCTCTTGCACTAATTCCTGCATTCACAAACCACTTGACGACCACAGCCCTCATCTCTGCTCCTACCACACTGGCCTGCGGGCCTACTCCGCGTATTTGGTGGCTGGCCTAGGTTCTAGATTACACATTACTGGTTTTTTTCTCCAGGCTTCTGTTTGTGGCCATATAAGCAATGAAGTACGAGTAATTAAAAGAGACATTGATTTTTGTAGTTCGTCCCCGTGAATCCGTTTATTAGAAACTAAACATTTTGTGCCGTGTTCTCACTACTACATTGTTCCTACTCAGAGTTTAGTCCTGCAAAGATCCTAAGGGCTTTTCTCAGCCCAAAAACTACGTCAACCTTTGGATTGAGAAAGCTCGCTTCTTGACTAGCAACAAGCATCGTCTTCATTGCTTGTGGTTCAAGTACAGCATTGCCCGTCATATAACCAGAGTTTATTACGTCATGTCTAAGCATGCGGGGGGTGGGGGGGAAACTGAACTTGAAAGTTCAAAAATGAAAACGTGGGTGAGGCCAAATGGCCGAAACCCCTTCTTTTGTAGTCGGAGAAGGGCGAATAGCGCTTCGACGATGCCTTTAAGTGCTGCGTACAAGCTGCTGCGCTTTCACAATAAGTCATTTTAGAAAGTGTAACACTTTCGAAAATATACATCTTTCCTGAGGATGCACCCAGAGGTGAGGAATCCACTGCAGCCTACGTGGTCACACTGCACAGTGGCTGCCAATCTCACGCTATAGGAGAGCCCCTGTGGTAAATCCAATATCTCTCAAAGAAGTCAGGTGCATTGACGCTTGTACCCATTAGTACCATTTTGACAGACCACCTACTTGATAATGTAAGGCATACAAATTAGGAGTCTATAAGAACAGCCCAATATTCCAGAGTGAAACAAGTGTTCCAAAAGTACATAGGGGGCCTGTTCATGAAACTAAACAGGTGCGGGGTGAATTGCAGAATGCGTGTGATTCGACCTTTTAGCGTGGAGATTCTACATGCCTTCGTGGCATAGCCTGGCACGTGACGTGACCTTTTCGCGGTGTCGTCCAACAGCGATAGTCCTCCGCCCTATCAGCAGCCACTCGGTATCGGATGAGGCAGAAACTGCTATTTCATTGGTTACATTTGTGCGGTGCGGAGTCACCAAGCAGGAATGCTGTGCCAGCGCAACACGCAATACTGTCACACTCGCAGGTGAAGAACAATTGTGAGCCTCTGACGGACGTGTTCTCGACGGTTGAAACTGACGACGAAACGGCATATGATGAATATTACCCAGCATCCAAAGCCCAGTGAATGTTTCATCTGCCCTTCTTGTGAAACTTGCTGCTTGGAGCCAATGACGCTGCCCGATATCCAACATGACCAGCACAAAACAAAACCCAACAAGCCCTTTCCGTCAAGTTGCCGTGACGAGAAACCTCTCAACGTTGGTGCGTCATCCGCCCCCAGTCCCCCATCCCACCCTCTCCTCACTCATAGCGTCGCTGTTGCCCCTCGGATTCTCCTTGCTCTGCGACGTGCCCGAGGAACTCTATCCTGGCACCACCACTCCCAAGGCACCACCACTACACCCGTGTCTGCTGCATTGTGTGAGCCATAGCTAATACTACCTAATCTCAGCAGCTCCTTCCTCCTCTCCGGTTATTGGTGTCCAAGAACGAAGTCAACCTGTCAAAGTTCCTCGAACAAATTCGGTTCTCATAGCTGCATGACGCTTATTCATCTATACCGGAAGTACAAGCGGTGGAACCCTGTGCACCCGACGCTCGGAGCTTTCTGGGGCTTCGGGGTGGGCTTGGGGTGCGGCGTGGGATGGGGTCCGGGGTTCGGTCCGGAGGTGGTCGGATACGTGGGTGCGGGCTGCGGCGTGGGCTTTAACATTGGCGTCACTCTGATTGGCGTCGGGATCGGTCTCCCCGCCAGCGATTTCGCGAGACTGCCTTGCGATGGTACGCCGAGCAGAATTAAGGCTTTTAAGAGAAATAATATATATATCCGTGTTTCTTGCAATTGCACTGGCACTTGAGTTCGATTGCACCGTCTGTCGCCTTAAATTGTTCCTTCTTTCTCTCCTCGCAGCCGCCTTCTACGCGGGCGACAAGGCCGTCAAGTTCGCCGGCGGAACGGTGGTTCCGGCGCTGGACGTGGCGGCGAGGAGCGGGTGGCAGCACGCCGTGAACGGCACGTCGTCGTGGCGCCAGTCGCTCAAGCAATGGGGGCCGCGCGTGGAGCTCGAGAACAAGTGGCAGCAGCACAACATGGCGTTCCAGGATTTCTGGAAGGCTGCTGCGTCCACTGTGCTGGCTGCTCACACCGTCGAACGCGCCATCATGCGCAGATAACGACGACTAAGCGGGCGTGAATCGCGAATCGCGGAAAAAATGCAAGTGCGGAGAAGATGGCCAAGCGGATTCTCGAGATTCGAAGAAAAGTGTTGTCCTGCTGCAAGGCAGACTGACTAGAGCAGCAGCAACAAGGGCAAGGACTGCTGCAGACCGGCAACGGCAAGGCTGTATCAGCGGGCGCGAGCATCACAGGCACGAGCTCAGGCACAGGGGCAACCAGCATGCGTTCTCACCCTTGATTCTGTTTGTTCGATTAGTTGCCCTTTCCCAGTTCCCCTCCAACCAGATGTATTTCATGCTTCTGCTAGCTCCTGGCTGTGCCTAACTGTGATGCTTTGCATGTGTATAAATGTGTTGTAAGCTCTCGATCTCTGATGTCATAGTGCTAATATAAATAAAGATACTCCACACAGCCTTCGTGATCAACTGACACCACTGCCAGAGCACTGGCTATCAAATTCAGTGAGATGAGCGCCAAAGAGGAACACCTCGATCTCCTCCCAGCTGCAGGCATCAAACACCGTCCATGGCGGCACCGCCAGCGCAGGACATGCAAGCCCCTCCTTCACCTCCCCATCTCCTGCCCCCCCTTGCTGCACATGCAGCAGTGCCAGCGCCACAAGCGGCAAGCGGTGCACACCAAAGGCCTGAATGACCCTGCCTAGGCTGGATGCCCCTCCTGCCATCACCACGCCCACCCGTGCTCGCAGCAGCGGCAGCAGGTCTGTTGTGCTGTCTCCAATGAACAGCGAGGGAGGGGAGGGGGGTGACATGGGCTCGGACGGTGATGCTGCTGCAGCCACATCTGAGCTTGATACTGCTGATGCTGGTGCCGCTGCTGCTGGTGCCGCTTCTGGTGCTGATGCGGGTGCTGCTTCAGTGCCGTGCTTTGAGGTGGTGTGTGGCAGTGTGCCATGGGTGAGAGCATGGAAGATACCATCCTTATCCATGGCGCCCTGCACATGGAAGTGCACAGCTCCTGTGGACACACCATGCTCATCAAACACCATCTCATTCGCTGTCACCACCACCCCGCCGCCCACTCCTGCTCCTCCCTCTGCCCCCGCATAACTGCACGTCTCCACTCTCCTCTCTGTCTTCCCCACATTCTCTTCTGCATCTTCTTTCGACCCGTCCCCTCCCCTCTCCCCACCTGCCATCCGCATGGCCTGCCTCACAGCCTCCCCCACATACGCCCCACTCCAGCTCACAGATACCACCTGCACCACACCACCCTCCCCCTCCACTCTCCTCAGCACTCGCCCACACCCAGACCTGAAGCTCCCCCGCCCCTCGCCCACCCCTTCCCCCTCCGCCACGTCAGCAGCCTCCCTGGCCGCTGCCAGCATGGCGTCCCGGGGGATGCCCTGCAGGGCGGCGACAGCTGTCACGCGCTGATTGGCCGTGGCCTCGAAGGAGGAGAGGCGGTGGAGGAAGGAGAGGAGACCGGGGGGGAGGCGGGCGGTGGCGCTGCTGGCAGTACTGTTGCTGTCCTTGCTCTCATCCTCTCCCTGCTTGCTGCTGCTGCTGCTGCTGCTGCTGCTGCTGCTGCTGTCCCTGTGTGCATGAGCGGGTGGCAGGTGGGCGTGCATGAAGTCAGAGTGGTCCCGCATGTATCGCTGCACCAGGTCGTCCCATACCTGCTGCCTGCTGCCACCACACTCACCAGAAGCAGCAGCAGCAGCAGCAGCAGCAGCTGCATCGTCGTTGGTAGAAATACCCCCACTGGCGGGAGCAGCGTGGGCGAGGGCAAGGTGGGCGAGCAGGGCACTGGAGTCATCCACAGTGCACGTGCCATCGAAGTCCACTGCAAACACCACCCCCGCTGCTTCCCCCCCACTGCCCTGTGATCTTTGTGTTGACTCTACTGTCGCCTGCCCATTGCCCGCCTCCCCTCCTCCTCCTGACGCCTCCCTCCCTACCCTCTCCCCTTCCTGGGAGGCAAGGTGGAAAAAGCCCGGCCATGCAGGGAGGGAGGGTGGGGCGTCGGACGCGTGTGGGTGTGGTATTGGCCGTGGTGCGGAGGCAGGGAAGGGAGCGAGCTGGGCGTGGAAGAAGGAGAGCTCCAGCTGCATGGCTCTGCTGTATACCCGTGATAGGTGCTGCTCTGCCACGTGCTGCTGCTGCTGCTGTTGCTGCTGCATATCGGTAGGGGAAGTGGGGTGGGACGAGTGGTGCAGGGAACGCAGGTGCAGCAACCAGAGGCGGTCGAACGCCGACTCCAGCAGCGCTGCTGCTGCCTGCAGCAGACAGGACAACATGGGAAGGGAGTTGCGGCAGGCAGGCATGGTGGAGACACGGGAAGGAGGGAATCAGGAGTCGTGTGGCGCGGCACACCATGATGATGCCGTGCCATTGCGTATCCCACGGCACAGAGTAACTTGTGGAATTCTCAAAGAGCTTCTGACGCCAACATGGCAACACGAGCATCACAGCATTGCAGGCTCACCTCAAAGCCCCGGCACGAGTAGGTGTGCAACCACTGGCCGTACGGATGCCACCGCCACTCCTCCTCCGACACACCCGCCCCACCCTTTCCCAGCACCTCCCCGGCCCCCCCACCTTCCTTCCCCGCCCCCTCCCCCCCCTCCACTCCCCCCGCTTCTGCAGCATGCATGCCCCAGGCAGCCCCCCCCATGGTGTGGCCGATTGAAGCGTAGAGGCGCATGCAGGGCAGCATGGCCGCCAGCACACACAGCGTGTGCCACCGCCGCGCTGCCAGGGATGATCGATCGCCATCAGCTATCCAGTCCGCAGGCCGTGAGGGGACCACCGATTCGCTGCTGCTGCTGTGACGCGCATGGTTGTGGTGACTCCCTTGCTCGCACGCACTTTCCCCTGCGCTGCTCTCGCCCTGCTCCCCCGGTGACTCCAGCCCATGGGAGTCCCACACGCCCCTCGTCCCCGCCACCACGTGCGAGAGGAAGGACGTGTACTCTAGTGTGGCAGGCAGGGGGGCACTGTCAGCCTTTACGTCAGCCGTGATGTCAGCGGACTGCTCCGCGTGTGTTTGTGAGAGGTCACGTGACTCCTCGATCCATGCCTGCCGCACATGGCGTGGTGTGGCGTGGCGTGGTGCGGCGTGGGAGGATATGATGTCAGGGTGGGGCGATGGAAGGAAGGGCAGGGCCGAAGCGAGCAGAGGTTTATTTGGGATGGGGGAAAGCTGAACGGGTTCATTCATCATGAATGTAATGTGTGCGGGTGCATGTTGGAGGAGGTGTGTGTGTGTGTGTGTGTGTGTGTGTGTGTGTGTGTGTGTGCATATGAGCATGTGTGCGTGACAGCAGCATGGCGGCAGTGAGGGAGAGGGGGTACCTTGACGGTGGCAGCATGCATTTCGAGCTCGCCATCTGCTTCCCTCTGCAGTCGCTGCACCACCGCCCGCACACTCAACTCGCCCCCCGCTTCTGCTCCCCTCTCCCCTGCCTCCTCCTCCTCGCCCTCCTCTCCCCCTGTGCTGTCCTCCTCGCCCCCATCCAGTAGTGATGCTGCCGCACCGTACCTACCCATGCCATGCCATGCCACCCCACCCCACCACACACGCCATGGCATGGCATGCGATGCAGTCAAGGCAATGTGGGTCAGACATGTGAGACAAGGCAGCGGGTGAGACGTGCAGCGAGCGCCAGCCACGGCGAAAGCCAAGCAAGAACCACGGGCAGCTTCCAGGAAGGGCCCACTCACGAGCACGTGACGTTTGAGTTGACTCAAAGTTCATGTGGATAGGAAGAAGGCGCCAAGGCGGAGAGGAAGGAGGCGCACCTGCAGCGATCTAGGGTGCCTCGGCGCACTCACTCGCCACTTTGGAGAATTCTCAAAAGTGATTTCAACGTGGCGCACTCGCCATGGCTGCGCGCTCTCCACCCAGTTGCCGCGATCGACGCTCAGTCAGGGGTCACTCACATCGTTACACGTTTCAGTCCACTCAAAGACCCAATGACGCAGGCAGGGCCCAGGGGCCACTCACGAGTGTGCGAAGGCGGAGAGGAAGAACGCGCCCTGCAGCGATCTAGGGTGGCGCGGCGCTCTCGCCATGGTTGAGCGCCCTCCACCCATTTGCCGCGATCGACGTTCCACGTTCCACGTTTCACGTCACACGTTGCAGTCCACTCAAAGACCCAATGACGCAGGCAGGGGACACTCACGACTGTGCGAAGGCGGAGAGGAAGAAGGCGTCCTGCAGCGAGTAGCGCACGAAGCGCCGCCGCGGCAGCGTGCCCGCGCCCAGCGCCAGCACGAACGGGTGGTACGCCGCCGCCTGCGCCACGCGCTGACTGCGCGCATCCCGCCACAGGCGGAGAGAGAGAGGTGCGCGGGGAATGGGGGGCGGGGGAGGGGGACAGGCGGACGAGGGCGCGGCGGGTTGGGGCGGCGGAGCGGAGGAGGGCACCGGAGACGCGGCCATGGGCGGAAGGGGCGCGGACGGCTGGTTTGGGGAGGCAGGGGAGGAGGGGGCTGACGTGGCCGTCAGGCACTTGGATGACGTGGCTTGAAATCCAGATGTTTTGGAGGAGATCGAGGAGAATGGTCGGAGCGGCAAGCGTGGAACGCGGGATGCGCGGAGCGGGGATGGCGCAAGCGCGGAGCCGCGGGAATGCGGGGATGCGGTTGCGATCGCCTTTGCCGCCGGGAATGGCGCGGAAAGGAGCGTCGTGACGTGGCAGAGGATACGGCAGCAGCGCAGGCTCGTGGATACGCGCGATGCTACGACGCGCACAGTCGCTGCGCGGGAAAGCGGCAGACGCACAGAGCGATGCATCGGCTCACGCGGGAATTGAGGACGGTCGACTGGAGGGAGGTAGATGGTCAATACTGCATCAAGAATTCGCGCCCTTCGTACGCCCAACAAACATCTCCGGCATTTCCGTGGCTCCTACACCGAAGCACGAACTGTGGTTACGAAAATTGCTGTTACATAACGTTAATGTAATTGGCTATCAACGCGAGAAGTATCGATTCCATCAGAAGAGCAGTATTATCAGTGCATGCACCTGGAAAAGGCACATCACTGTAGAGACTATTGCAGCTGTCAAGAGCCTGCTATATGAAAGCCCTCGACCTTCTTTATCACCTCCTCCGTTGCCCCCACCCTCACCACCCCACTCACTCCATTGCACTCCCCACCCTCCCCTTTCCCACCAGCCGCACCAGCAGCATCAGCACTACTAGCAGTGCCATCAGCAGCAGCACCAGCAGCAGCGCCATCAGCGGCAGTGGCGGGGGGTGCGAGCTTCCAGATGCGGATGGTACCGTCTTCTGAGCCTGACGCGTAAGACAGCGCATCGGGGGCAAAGCGAATGCAATGCACTGGCCCGTGATGGCCCTTGTGACACTCTGGTGGGCGAGGGAGGGGGAGGGGGGGGGGATGGGGGAGCCGGGGGGAATGCAGTCCACCAGAATGAGGGGGGATGGCGTTTGCGGCACTACCAGCACTACCAACAGCAGCACCATCAGCAGCACCATCAGCAGCATCCGCAGGTGTGCTGAGGGGTGGTGCCGTCCTCTGCGCCCGATGCATACGAGAGTGCATCGGGGGCAAAGCGAATGCAGTGCACCGGACCGTGGTGGCCCTTGTGACACTGTGGGGGATGCGGGCAAGGAGGGTGGGGGAGGGGGGATATTGGCGAGAGGGGGATTGAGAGGGGGGCTAGGTGAGGAGTGTTGCCCTTGAGATACCCCGTGGGGGAGAGGGCATGGCGTGACATGGCACGGCATGGTGCACGGCATGGCATGGCATGGCGTGGTGCATGGCATGGCATGGCATGGCATGGCATGGCATGGCATGGCATGGCATGGCATGGCATGGCATGGTGCATGGCATGGCGCATGACACCCCTTACCTAGCTGCTGGCCCGTCTCATAGTCAAAGACACGCACCCACAGGTCCTCGCCCCCCGCCACAAACCTGCCATAAACACACACACACACGGGGCGGTTGGGGCAGAGGTGGGTATTGAAGAGACAAGAGGGCTCGCAACACAGGTTCAAGAGATAGGGGAAAGAGTGGCAGAGAGACAAGGGCAAGCACCGCATGAAGCATGGTGCATGCAGAAGTAAAAACCATTTGAATTGACTGGAAATTGAACCAGGACGTGTCAACAGGGCGGGCGACAGCAGCCGCCTCACAGCAGGTCCGCACTGCACCGCACCGCACCGCACTGCACAGCTCAGGGGTAGAAGCAACATGGCACGCACCGATTGGTTGATGGGATGTAGGATGCTGACTCGGCCTGATGTGGCAATCGATGTGACTTGACCTCTTGCAGCCTGCAGCACATGGTGCCATGGTGGCATGGAGGCATGGAGGCATGGATGGATGCATGGTGGGATGGTAAGATGAGATGGCATGGTGAGATGGCATGATGAGATGGTATGGTAGCACGGAGGCATGGAGGCACGTTAAGTGACAACTACAGGAGCAGCAATACATGGAGGAGTGGAGGGGAGGCGGATGGGAAACGAATGAGCGAGCCCAAGAGAGCAGTGGGGGCGGCTCTCTGGGGAATAAGGGATTCGTCTGCGTGGGCGTCAAGCTCCTGACAATGGAGGCACTTGGTAAAAAAGGGTCTTGGAAAACTAACTACAGTCTTAGAGAATAATAAAGAAGCAGCCTCCCTGAGGATGAAGGGATGGTACGAGTGCGCGTCAACGATCTTGACCGTGGAACCATCAGCCGTGGTGATGAAGGCACGATGGCAGAATGGGGACATGGGTGCATGACATGACGGCATGAGAAGAGTCATATATACGAGAGCAACGACGCATGAAGGTTGGTGCGTACGAGTGCGCGTCGAAGATCTTGACTGTGGAGCCATCCGCCGTGGTGATGAAGGCGCTGCCCCCTGCTGCACCACCAGCGGCAGCAGGTGAGACGTCCATGCTGAGACATGCGCCGTCCGTGGCCATCACGCCCACCACGTCTTTGCTGCGCGCATCAAACACCCTGTTGGGTGGTGGGGATGGGGGAGAGTGGGGAGGGAATGGTGGTGAGAGGCGGTGGCGGGAGTGAGGCAGAGAGATGGAAGGCAGCAGGCAGCACGACACACGGGCTGTGCCCCACCATCCCACGGCATGTAACCCAATCCAACCCAATCCAACCCAACCCAACCCAACCCAACCCAGCCCCGGCGGGCTCACTCCCCCCTCCCCCCCCCCCCTGGGACTCACTTGACGCCCGCCACGTCATTGCAGGTGACGAGGATCCAGCGGTCGTCGTTGTGCCACCTGGCGCAGCGCACGGGCCCTGCCATGCCCTCCAGTGACAGCGTGGGGCCCGCGTCGGGGCGAGCCATGTCGAACACACGCACCACCTTCTCCGCGCCTCCTGTCAACAGCTGCCGCGAGTCCTGATAGGCGCAAAGGATGTACCCAGATTGAAGGGAGGGGGGAGGGGAGTGGAAAGGGGATGGACGGGAAAGGGATGGAGCGAACGTGGTGAAGAGCGTGCGTCATTTGTGCGACTTGAGGCTTGTAAAGACCCTCGCCGCGTCTGACAGGGCGAGCCAGGTCCAACACAACACACGCACCACCTTCTCCGCCCCGCCCGTCAGCACCTGCCGCGAGTCCTGGTAGACCCACCAGCAGTGGCCACGTTGAAAGGAAGGGGAGAGCGGAGTAGAGAGGGGATGGACGTGGGGGAAAGGGATGGAGAGAAAGAGTGAGGAAAGCGTGCGTCATTCGCGCGGTTTGAGGCGTGCATGGAGGCAAGACGATCACTTGCTGCTGTCCGCATCGTAACCCGAGGGCGCTGCGCTGCCGCCAGTGGCTCCAACGCAATGAGGGTGTGAGAAGAAGGGTGGGCCCGGATATGAAAACGGAACTCACTTCAAAGAAGTGCACGGTTCTGACGACGTGGTTGTGCTCCACCACAGCTCGTTCTTTGACCCGACTCAGAGGTGCACTCATGCACTCACGGTAGGCCGGGAATGAAACGGCACGCCAGAGACGAAAAGGAGACTGACCTCTGAGAAGTGCACGGTTCTGACGATGTGCTTGTGCTCCAGCTCGTCCTTTGAGGCGACTCAGAGGTGCAGAATGGAATGGCATGCGAGAGACAACAAGGGGAGTCACGGCGGATAAGGGAACTGACCTCGGAGAAGTGGACGGTGCGCACGATGTGCTTGTGCTCCAGCTTGTGCTTCTCGTCGCCCGTCAACGCGTCCCAGATGCGCCTGCAGGGGGCGTGGGGGGGGAAGAGGAGGAAGACGCGGAGAAGCGCGTACGGGGGGGAGAGGAATGGGGGGGAAGGGAAGCGCGCATGAGGGACGGGGAACGGAAGACAAGCGCGCATGAGGTGGGGGGAGAGGAATGCGGTGGGGAGTGGGATGAGGGGTAAGAATGGGGCAAGTAACAGCGGGGACGGGCTTGCAAGGAGGGGGAAGAAGGAGGGCGGGGGGAAGGATTTGAAAGGGTTGGGAGCGAGGCTGTTTTTGAGTCGACTCAAAAGAAGGATTTGAAAGGGTCGGGAGCGAGGATGGGGAGGAAAAAATCCTCCTCTGTACGTGCGCAGTCGTATCTCAGCAGTTTCTACCGAATCTGTTTTTGAGAATTCTAAAAAAACAGATTCAGCACTACCACTCTCGCTGCTGTCCGTCCAGCCCTCCAACCGAAAGCCTCACTTCCGCTTCCCAATGCGCGCCCCAGCCCCCCCTCCCCGCAAGTTCCTACTATACAGTGAGGTCGGCGGAGGCGGTGGCGGAGCAGCGCCCAACCCTCCTAATCCCCAATCCCTGGCCCCATCCCCCACCCCAACCCCCCATGCCCACCCCAACCCCCCATCCGCCACCCCAACCCCCCATTCCCCACCCCAACCCCCCATTCCCCCGCATCGTACGCGGTGAAGTCGGCGGAGGCGGTGGCGGCGAGCAGCGCGGGGCGGTCGAGGCACGCGCCCCACACGGCGCCCTTGTGCCCTTCGAACGTGCCGATCCAGTCGCCCGTCTCGCCGTTGCGGATCATCGGCTTGCCGTCTGCGCGCGCGAGAGCGGGCGGGGGGATACGGGAGGAGGGGGGGTTGGGAGGAAGGGGGTGTGTGAGGGTTTGTCGTACGCGCGCGCGGTTGGGGTTCGAGAGGGGGAAAGCGGGGAAATCGGGGAGGGGGGAAAGGGGTGTGTGTGGGCTTGGTGTCTGTGCGCGGAGAGAGAGGAGCGGTGTACCAAGAGGGGGGAATGCCGAGGGGGCGGTGCGGACCTTACTGCTGGGGGAGGGGGGTGTTGGCGTGCGCACCTTTACTGGCGGAGAAAGGGGGCGCGTGCGTACCTTTACCGGCGGAAAGGGAGGAAGTGGGGAGGGGGGGGAACGTGCGGACCTTTGCTGGCGGAGAGGGGGGCGCGCGCACCTTTACTGGCGGAGATGAGGAAGAAGCCGTCGTCGGTGACGGGGCTGTACGCGATCTCCACGATCGGCCGCGAGGGATGTGCAAGGGCTTGCCGCTTGCGCGCGCGGGAGCGGGTGAAACAAGAGGTGGAATTGCCGAGGGGGCGGCGCGGACCTTTATTGGCAGACAGTGGGGAAGGGGGTAATGGGGGGCGCGCGCACCTTTACTGGCGGAGATGAGGAAGAAGCCGTCGTCCGTGACGGGGCTGTACGCGATCTCCACGATCGGCCGCGAGGGATGTGCAAGGGCTTGCCGCTTGCGCGCGCGGGAGCGGGTGAAACAAGAGGTGGAATTGCCGAGGGGGCGGCGCGGACCTTTATTGGCAGACAGTGGGGAAGGGGGTAATGGGGGGCGCGCGCACCTTTACTGGCGGAGATGAGGAAGAAGCCGTCGTCCGTGACGGGGCTGTACGCGATCTCCACGATCGGCCGCGAGGGATGTGCAAGGGCTTGCCGCTTGCGCGCGCGGGAGCGGGTGAAACAAGAGGTGGAATTGCCGAGGGGGCGGCGCGGACCTTTATTGGCAGACAGTGGGGAAGGGGGTAATGGGGGGCGCGCGCACCTTTACTGGCGGAGATGAGGAAGAAGCCGTCGTCCGTGACGGGGCTGTACGCGATCTCCACGATCGGCCGCGAGTGCCCGTGGCACACTAGCGGCGCCTGCCCCGCCGCCGCCGCCGACGGCGCGAGCGACGACCCCGACCCCACGCGCTTGCGCTCCATGCTGCCCGATAGGTGCGGCTGCGACGGCAGCGACATGGCTGCGACTGCGACTGCTGCGATCGCCTCGTTCGTCGCCTCGCCTGCTCTGGTCGGTGTCGACCTAACGGCGAAAATACCTCCGCTGGTGTTACAGCTGCTTGCTGTTTTCTGTTCTCAAGAAGAGCCGAGGGATTTCGGGCGGCCGTGACAGGCGGTGCTGTCTAGGTTATCGCGAAGCGAAGTCGGCCGAATAGAATAAGACGCGTGCAGGGGTTCTCAATGCGTCAAGTGAACGAATCTGAATTTGATTGCGATATTGATACGAAATCTGAATGCGACCACATGGGAGACGCACGTCACATGATCCCGCAAAAACCGGGTTGCGCCGCGCACTACTGCCCTTAGTACGATATATTATCTAAGACCTAACCTGCTGCTTGGTTGGTAGCGACTGACACGAAAGCCTAGGTTTTTGGTGTGGCAGAGCGGGCGGAACGAGGAGCGCGAGAAGCGGGTAATGGTCACACGGGGGTGGGGAAATTGGGCAGGCGGGCAGGGCTGGCGGAAGGCAGGCGTCCCTCGCGGGGGTTCGCTGGATTTGACGCGCGGAGTAAAAGAGATCAGGCTAAGTGCTCTCCACGTCAGGAAATGTTCGAAGGCATACGCTTGTAACGGCCATTCGAGTGTAAGAATTCATGAGTTGTAACATGGCTTTGAATTTGAACAGATAAAACAATAGCTGATTCAAAGAAAGGACAAGTCCTACGCTTTGGTGTCCTTTGACTCTTGCATAGTACAAGCGCTGAAATTTTATAACGACTAAAACTCGAATTCTCCGTTGGCTTTGAAGAAAAGTATGTCCCGGCCATTTAGGCTCATGACTCCGTGCCGCAGCAGACACTTCCATCGGTTCTTCTGACGAGTGACCTGCATGAAGCCAGAGGGGGGCATGCAGAGCACACCAAACACATTCAACAGAGAACTACAGACGAGCAGTGGAGGTGCAACAACCAGAGGCAGCAGCTGGTGAATCTATAAGAACCTGCCAAGGATCCCACATCCCTCACTCCCCTCCTCTCCCCACCCTCCTTAGCCCCTTCTTCCCTCCCCCCAACCCCCTTCCCCTCCCTCTTGCCCTCCCCCTCCTCCCCCCACTTCCCAACACCCCCTCGTTTTCTCCCCCTCGAGCACCTTCTCATAGGTGGCGAGCACAATGTTGCCGTCCTGCCCCTCCCCTTCCCCCCAACACCCACCCCCCCAATTCCCAGAACCACCTCCCCCAGACACACCTTCTCATAGGTGGCGAGCACAATGTTGCCGTCCTGCCCCTCCTCGTCCGCCCCAATGACCCCCCGCCCATCGTCGTCATCATCATCGTCATCCTCCGCCCCCAGCGACTCGTCATCGTCCGCTGGCCCCAGCTCCTCCTCCTCCTCCTCCTCCTTGGCTGCCCTCCCCGCACACAACACATGCACGCACACCACACAACACATGCACGCACACCACACAACACATGCACGCACACCACACAACACATGCACGCACACCACACAACACATGCACGCACACCCCACATCACATGGAGCAAACGTGTGGAGAGGTTGCAAGGTCCAGGAAGAACCAGAAAGACGTAAGCCCTTGCTGTGGGTTGCAGTGGAGTGACGTGTCAAGGGTGTGGCACAGCTGTGGCCATTCGACAAGCAACAAGTGGTGATAACGCACACGCCATAAGCAGGCAGTGCAACGACGCAAGCCATGAGCTGGCAGTGTAACGACTGAATGCCCAAGGAAAAGAATCAGTGAGACCAACCAGTGTCAGTGCGGGCTGCTGGGTCGTTGTAGTCCTCCTCTTCTTCCTCCTCCTCCTCCGCCTCCCCTGCCGCCCCTCCCTCCCCCTCCTCCTCCTCCTCTCCCTGCAACAGCAACCGCATGGCGCATGGGGGCAAGAAGGGTGGGGCATGGCTGAACAAACGCAGAAATCCAGCACCTCACTGCTAACCGTCCAACTTTCAAGGCAGGAATGGGAGAGAGAGGACGAACAGGGAAGGGAGAGCAAAAGGCACTCACCTCGTCGGCCTCATCACCATCCTCCTCATCACCATGCCCATCCACCTGTCGCATGCACCGCCTCTCCACCACCCACTGCCTCCCCTCTCTCTCGCCCCTGCCGCCCTTGCCGCCCCCGCTGCTACCACGTGCGTCCCGCCCCTCGGCTCCCCCAGCCCCGTGTTGCACCCCCCTTCCCGACCCATCCCGCCCTTCCGCTGCGCCTGCACCACCCAACCCTCCCACCACTCCCCCATCCGCTCTGCTCCTCTCCCCACTCCCCTCCTCTCCCCGTCTCCCTCCTCCACTCCCCCCATGCGTATGCTCCAGCTGACTCAGCATGTCGTGGGCCCATTGGGAGGCACCACGTGGCATGCTGTCACTGGCTCCGTCAGCCTGAGGGAAGGCGTACTCAGGAGTGAGGCGGGGTCTGCTGGTGTCCCCCCCGGCTGCATCCATCCCTGCCTCCTCCTCGTAGCCCCCCGGCCCCTCCTCTGCTCGCTTGCGCTTCAGCTCTGTGGGCAGCAGACCCTGCTTGCACACACGGCCACAGGGCACACATGGATGCAGGGGGAAGCGGGGAGGGTGAGTGGGGCACCTCAAACACAGCAGGCCCAGCTCGCATAGGCGGAAGAGCACACTGGACACGCATGTATGGATCCGCACACATACACACATGCATACACACACGCATGACCAGAAGCATGCACCCAGGCGTACCAGAGTGGCCTCGTCCGAGGCAGCAGCATCAGCGTATGTGTCCTCCTCAGGCACTGCACGCACACAGCCGGTCACACACGGAGCAGCAGACGGTTAGGCGTGGCAGGATTCAAAGCCCGACCGGATTGGTGGATGCGGTGAGTGGAGGGACATGTGGGCAGGTACGTGCATGTCGGGCGAGACGAGAGCGCTTGCACGGCAGCACGGCAGCATGGCAGCATGGCAGTAGGACGGCGGGGCGGCGAGGGGGCAAGGAAAGTGAGGCAGCAGGGCAGTGGCACTGACCGGCGTTCATGTCGACCATGAAGGGCTTCTGCTCCCACGCCTCCTGCCGCGGCTGCCAGGGGAGAGGAAGGGGGCACAGGGAACAGATCCGTGGGTCGCCCTGTGCTGTGCCATTCCACTGAACCCGCGACACGAGCACGGATGGATGCGACGTGCATGAATGGGTGGTGCATGTGGCGTACCATGAAGGGCAGTGGACGGCCATCGAGACTGGATGTGACGTGTACACTGGAGTACTGTGGTGCAGCGGGAGGGCGGGAGGAGGCAGGCACAGCAGGGACGGAATGAGAGGAGCAAAACGAGTGGCAAAGCACAGCGAGAAAAACAGGGAGCGAGGAATTGAGTGAAGTCTTCAAGCATCCGTAAAGCAGCTAAGGCCTTACAGATGCGTGGGATGCTCCCAGCGACAGGGCCTGCTCGTCCTCCGCCTCTCCACCATCCCCGTTATAAGGCATGTTCAAATCATGCCCTGCGAATCCCCCTCCGTGTCCTGCGCCCTCGCCACCCTCCTCCTCCCCTGCGCCCTCCTCCGCCGCTGCTTCCCCCTCCGCGCCCCCTAGCGGGCCCTCCTCCGCCTCCACCGCGGCTACATCCGCCTCAGCGGCCGGCGGCGCAGGCGGGGGAAGCGCATACCCGCCCACGGGGATGACCGCACCCGACTGCATCACCTTCGCCTCCCATAGCTGACCGGGGTAGCGGAGGGAGGGGGAGAACGGGGGAAGGGGGTAAGGAGGGGGGGAGGAGAAAGGGGGAGAGGGGAAGAGGGGGGAATGAACGTAGCGAAAAGGTTGTGGTGGGCGCGGAGGGTGCGCCGACAGATATGTCAGTCACGGGGAAACGGGTTGTGACTGAAGACAGGAAAGAGGGCCATAGGAAGGTAAAGCACGGTCAGTGGCGGGCATGCCGGTAGCGCCGAAAAGGGTGTCCGGTATGACCGCACTGAAGGGACGCGCAGTGAGCGAACAGCAGCGATGGACCTAAAGGGGGGACGGTAGCGCTGAAAAGAGAAACCATTAGCACTGATCAGACGAGCGATGGGCAGTGTGTTTCGGAGATGCCTAAAAAACAAGCTGTGGTGGCGAAGAACAGGGGATCCAGCACGCACTGAAGGGCCGAGATATGGAGGGCGGGAAATTTAACGCAGGAGCGAGCGACGGACCTGCTGCGAGCGATGGACCTGCTGCGAGCAACGGACCTGCTTCAAGCGACGGACCTGCTTCAAGCGACGGACCTGCTTCAAGCGACGGACCTGCTTCGAGCGACGGACCTGCTGCGAGCGACGGACCTGCTTCAAGCGACGGACCTGCTGCGAGCGACGGACCTGCTGCGAGCGACGGACCTGCTGCGAGCGGGGGAGACAGACGGACCTGCTGCAACTCTTGGAGCACGCTCTCGTCGACGCCGTCGCTCTGGAAGTCGGGTCGAACGTTCTTAATGACGTCCTGGATGACGTGCAGGTAGATGTGCGTCACCGCCGACGACATGCTCGCCGCTCGCCGCTCTATCCAGTAATCAGATCTCCGTCGGGGCTCTACAGTCAATCATAGCAGTCCAACGCGACGCGATACACAGGAAAAACGAAATGCCAACACGTCGTTTAGGCGTAAACTATAAGATACTGTCAGACGGCCATGGCCCCAGGCACACTACAAATTGCTGCTGTTCGGCTCAAGTCTGCATGATAGCAGCAGCAGCCGCAGCAGCAGCAGCGATGTTCAGTTTCTCCTCCAAATTGAGGATGAGAGAATGGAAGAATGGAATGGCGGGGAAGGGGTTTGAAGGTTGTGGTCGGGTGAAGGAGAAGAGGGGGTGGGGTCACATATTTATGCGTGCTGCCCGTGATCGCTTCTGCCGCAATGACAAATCTCATTGCGCCGTGTGGCAGTCAGTGAACTATGCGGTGTACAGCGGGGTGCGAGTCGCTGCTGGACCAATCAGCGGACAGCGACGCTTGGGCTGATCCCATGGCCTTTTCGGTGACTGAACGAGAAACCAACGTGACAATCGCCGACTTGTCGCAACGTCGCATGGGGGGCTCGTCGACCTTCCCTTACCACAGGCACCAACTGTCGTTACCTAATTCATCCCATCGTTACCTGAATGTTGAGCGCGTGAATGTTTTAAATCTTGCAGATGCATGACCTATATGAAGGATGCGGAATTCGTCAACAACAATTTCGCCAAACATTCGATCTCTCGCCAGCTTCTCTTCCCCCCACCTCAAGTATTCCTGTTTTCTCCAGCTTGCGTTGTCAGTAACAATTCCCAGAGCACAAGTTTCCCGCCCACCGTTCCCAGTCAGTTGCTCTCTTGTTTTTCCACCGCCTTTTCTACCCAATCAGAAAGTAGAACTGGCGCACCTCGATGAGATTGGTGGTGTGAAATGGGATACACGTCATGCATTTCATGAACACGTCACTCTCATGTGACCAGTTTCGGAGTTGTTTTCTTCACGTGGGTCTGCGAACTATCTACCGTTCGAAAAAGCCCACGTAGGCGGATTTTTTCAATGAAGTGAGGATTCTGTATGACGTGGTGCAAGGCGAACCTTTCTTTTATTTCTCTGGTTGCAGAATATTCCATGCTGGCACTCTTTGGGACCACCGTAGAGACCAGCAAGGCATTTTTTTTACCGTTGAAGGTCATTTCGATTTTACCGCGACGTGACATTTCGACCACACATGACGTCAGCGACTCAAGTTCCAGGGACATTCTACTGCGTAGGGCTCTTTCGTGGCATTTTGCCTCTCGGCATCCTCATTTCACGACCCTCATTTTCCGACCCTCATTTCGCGAAGGACCCTCTGATCATTCTACCAGTTTTGCTACATCGCCGTTCTCGCTCCACACATTTCTAACATTTCTAATTCTCCTAGGACAATTCCGGTTTGCTGAATCCACGTCCACACCACCAATTTACTCCTCCAAGGCTTGATTTTCCACTTCTTCCATCCATTCTCCGCTGTACGGCTTCGTTTACCTCGGGAGTTCCGCCATTCGCCATTCATCGATTCGTTGAATGCGATACTCAATATCATTCCCGAGGTGAGCTCCCAAGGGCCTAGTTGAACTTTATTTCGTCGATTGATTTTCGCTTGGCTACTGCGGTGCAATCACCCAGAAATTATCATTTTGTGGTTTATGTGCAAGCACGAGGCACTGCTTTACCACCTGCACCAGTGTGTACAACGCTGGTTGCAGCAATTTTATCTCGCTGGCTACAGCAACATCATGACGCTGGCTGAAGCAACAACTGCTGTTGCGCCTTCTTCTTCAACTCCTTCTCCTGCTCCAACCACCATTATTCCAAGTATGTAGCAGATTTCGTTTTGTTGCCGTTTCAGCCTCAGTTTCGCCTTTTTCCTGTTCTCGTACTGAGCTTCATCTCTGCGCTCTTTGCAGGAGTCAGCACCACCCATCAAGCCGAGATTTGACCAGCCCACGACCATCCAAACGAGGGACCCTGCCCATCCAAGCCTGCTCATGTGGATTTCAAGCGGTGCAAGTGGACGGACAACAGGGGAGCCACGATTTAACAACTGATTGCAACAGTGAAGGTTGAAGTATCACCTCCTGCAGCCACTCTCCACATGAGCCACCCCCCCTGGTCGAGGTTGAGGTTCAGGTGCCCCTTCAGGTCTTTTTTTTTTGGCTCTGGTGGTGCTGTGGTGTGCGCTCCTTTTCTCAGCATTTCGTTGTTCCCTTGCATGGATCAGAGCTGACATGCACTTACTTTCTGACTCTCTCCTCGCTTCCCTGGCAGGTTTGAATGACCGCTGGAACGCCAAGGCCCTTCTGCTCACAAGGCTGGCGGCGTGGGCGCAAGCTGCAGAGGAGCAGAGGAGCAAAGGAGCAGCCTCGAACTTATGGAAGGTTGACAGTATCATCTGCGCCCTCCACACTCCACATGAGCCCCCCCCCTTGGTGAAGGTCAAGGTTCAGGTGCCGCTTCAGGTGTTTTTTTTTAACCTGGCTCTTGTGGTGCTGTGGTCGTGCATCTGTCCTTCATTCGCGTCTTCTTTCCGTTGGATTGTTGCCTGCTGCCATGTACTCACTGACTTCTCTCCTCGCTCGCTTCCCTGGCAGGTTTGGATTGACCGCCGCAACGCCAAGGCCCTTCTGCTCACAAGGCTGGCGGCGTGGGCGCAAGCTGCAGAGGAGCAGAGGAGCAAAGGAGCAGCCTCGAACTTATGGAAGGTTGAAAGTATCATCTGCGCCCTCCACACTCCACATGAACCTGGCTCGTGTGGTGCTGTGGTCGTGCATCTGTCCTTCATTCGCATCTTCTTTCCGTTGGATTGTTGCCTGCCGCCATGTACTCACTGACTTCTCTCCTCGCTTCCCTGGCAGGTTTGAATGACCGCCGCGACGCCAAGGCCCTTCTGCTCACAAGGCTGGCGGCGTGGGCGCAAGCTGCAGAGGAGCAGAGGAGCAAAGGAGGGCCCATTGCTAGCCATCACTCAAGGCAGCACCAAGGCGCGAGGCACCACCAAAGCCCCTCTGTCTGCACCTCTGCAAGCGCCAAGGCCTGCAGCATCGCCTGCTGAGGCGCCTCACTCGCCCCACACACAGATAAGTCTCCTCAGCTTTATCCTCTCTCTGCCTGTTTCTCTCCGCATGCATGTTTCTCATTTGCCATCCCCATCCGCCATCATCGCTTTCTTGCTACGTGCATGCAAGCCACTTCTCCTCAGAGCCTCCTCCCCTTGGGTCAAGGTACAGGTATGATATGGTTGGTTCAGGTTAAGGTTGGTATGAGGTACAATGTTTGGTACTTGGCTCCTGTGGAGGGCATGGCGAGCACCGCACTGCACCATGCCGCATCTCACAGCATCCCCTGCAATGCTCACAGCATCCCCACTGCACATGCAAGCCCACACAGGCAGTTTGGTTAATGACTCCCTACTTGCTCCCCCCCTGCCTGCCAGGAGCTCCTCCTTGGCGCCCCTGCTCGCCCAGGCAGCGGCAGCGGCAGCGGCAGCACCTGTGGACGGGTGGCGAGGGGTGAAGGCGCCTCACGGTCCAGCTGGGGTTCAGGTGGCCCTTGAGGTATTTTCTTTGGTACTTGGCTCTTGTGCTGCACCTTGCACGCCCACCACTCACTCCCCACACCACACCCGAACAGCTTTCAATCGGTTTCACTTTACAGTCATGGCTGCCTTGCATTCACTCTCTTTTTTTCTCTGCCTTCCCCCTTCACTGGCAGGTGTTACTCCGGAGGCCCCTCACTCGCCAACACTCAATGCAGCAGTACCAAGGCGCGTGGCAACTCATAGGCGCAAGGAAGCACGTGGCGCGAGGCACCACCAAGGCCCCTCTGCACGCCTGCAAGCGAGAGCCAAGGCCTACAGCGCCCGCGCACGCGCCATCAACAGATAAGCTCACTGCCCTTGGGCTCTCACCCGCTCGCTGTCTGCTTTTGCAACCCCCATCCGCCATGCTGCCTGCCTTGCCATTTCCTCGCCCCCCCACCTGCTGCCGTGTCAGCCGCCTCTCCATGGGCCTCTCCCCCAAGTTGAGGTCAGGTTCAGGTTCAGGTGTAGGTCAGGTTGGGGTTCAGGTGAAGGTTCAGGTGAGGGTGAGAGGTGGAGGTACGAGGTGTGGTACTTGGCTTGTATGGAGGGCGTGGTTGGCATGGCACAGCAGCATACCCCATCTCATGCCATCCCATGCTCACGCTCACCATCACCCATTCTCCCCCTTCTGTCATCCATAGCGGCCCTTCACTCTCTCCGGCTCACTTCCCTCTTTCCTCCCTTCTACCCTTCCCTTTCCCCCCCTGACTGCCAGGATCTCTGCTTCAAGCCTGTTCAAGGTGCAACAGCAAGGTGAAGAAGCAAGGCGCAGCAGCAAGGGGCAGCAAGGCACCTTCAACGCTCCACACAAAGATAAGCCCACTCCCCTTGGTTTCATACCCGCTCCTTTTCTCTTTCAGCCTGTGCTCATGTTCCCTGCACTGTCATCCCCCCATCCGCCCTCCCCCTTGCTGTCATGCCAACCACCCCTCCACAGAGTCTTCCCCCTTGGTAAGGTTCAGGTTTCTTTTCAGGTTAAGTTTCAGTAAAGGTGAAGGTTTGGTACTTGGCTCTTGTGGAGGGCGCGTTGGCTGCTGCACCATCACCCACTGCACATGCACTCATCTCACCTCTTGTGTCCTCCATACCTTCCCTTCACTCATCCCCGCTCCCTTTCCTCTTCCCTCCCCCCGTCCTCACCCTATCCCTCCCTGACTCTCAGGCTCGCTGCTCCAAGCCTCTACTGCAGTGCTAGGCGCAGCAGGAAGGCCCATGAGCATGGTACAGGAGCAAGGCGCAGGACCAAGCCCAGCAAAGCACCATCAACGCTCCACACAAAGATAAGTTTGAACCCTGGTTTCATACCCGCTCCATTTCTCTTTCATCTGAGCTCTTTCACGGATGCTCCCTGCACTTCCATCCCTCCACGCGCCGTCCCTCAGCTCAGCCCGCTTGCTGTCATGCCAACCAGCCCTCCACAGAGCCTTCTCCCTTGGTAAAGGTTCAGGTTGCTTTTCAGGTGAAGGTTCAGGTTCTTTTTAGGTAAAGGTTCAGGTGGAAGGTAGAGGTTTGATACTTGGCGCCTGTGGAGGGCGTGGAGGGCGCTGCATCATGCCATCCCATGCGCTCGCCATCACCCACTGCACATGCACGCATTCCACCCCTTGACTCCTCCACAGCTTCCCTTCACTCATTCCCGCTCCCTCCCCTCTTCCCTCCCTCCGTCTCACCATATCTCCCCCTGACTGTCAGGCTTCCTGCTTCAACCCTCTACTGGAGTCCAAGGTGCAGCAGGAAGGCACAGGATCGAGCAAGGAGCAAGGTGCAAGGATTAAGGCCCAGCAAAGCACCATCAACACTTTACACAAGGATAGGCCCACACCCTTGGTCTCTTACCCACTCCGTTTTTGTTTCACTTGAAGCTTCTTCTGAGCTCTCCAGCCCACATCCTGATATTCCCTGCACTGCTATACCCCCCATGCGCCTTCCTCCTTGCTGTCATGCCAACCACCCCTCCACAGAGCCATCACCCTTGGTAAAGGTTCAGGTTTCTTTTCAGGTAAAGGTTCAGGTTAGGGTTCAGGTGGAAGGTGAGAGGTGGAGCTACGAGGTGTGGTACTTGGCTTCTATGGAGGGTGTGGTTGTCTCTGCGCCGTGCCGCATCTCATGCTATCCCATTTTCACAACATCACCATTCCCCCCTTGTGTCCTTCATAGCTTCCCTTCACTCACTCACTCCTGGTCGCTTCCCTCTTCCCTCCCTTCCTCCCTTCCCCTCCCCTACCCCCTGACTGCCAGGCTCTCTGCTTCAAGCCTGTCTGCAGTCCAAGTCTCAGCAGCAAGGGGCAGCCGCAAGGGGCAGCAAGGCACCCTCAACGCTGCACACAAAGATAAGCTCACACCCCTGGTTTCCAGTCCGCTCAGTCTCTCTTTCAGCTCGAGATCTCGTTTGAATACCAATGTGCCCTGCACTGTCATCCCTCCATCATGCCTCCCCCTTGCTGTCATGCCAACCACCCCTCCACAGAGCCTCCCCCTTAGGTGAAGGTATTTTTTTCAGGTAGAGGTTCAGGTTATGGTTCAGGTGGAAGGTGAAGGTTTGGTACTTGGCTCCCGTGGAGGGAGTGTTGGCGCTGCACCATGCCTTATCTCATGCCATGCTGCGCACTCACTGCCATGCTCACACCGCCACTCACTACACATGAATCCCCGCTGTGCATTTACTCTCCTCTCCTCCCGCCCTTTCCTGCTTGCCTGGCAGATGCTCCTTCCCAGCACCCAAGTGACAGCAGCCGGGGCAACGCCGGTGGAGTGGGGGGCAGCGCTGGTGGAGAGGGAGGGCAGCGCTGGTGGAGAGGAGGGGCAGGGCTAAGTGCCTTGGAAGCACGCTGCCGGGTCAACGCGCCTGCCTGCCCACAGCCCTGCCAGGGGCTGCCTCTCCCTGCTCCTTCAGTCAGTGTGAGTGCCACGCTCTCCTCGCCTCACCTGCTCACCTTCTCACTTGTGTTAGTTCATACCACTGCTGTATGCACTCACTCGTATTTTCTGTTTGACTCCTGCACCTGTCATTTTTTTTTCCATTCATTTTTCTGTCATATTGGGTGTCTTACCTATTTCTGCCTACTCACCAGTTCCTCCTGCCCTTCCTCTCCTGTGCCCGCTCCCCCTCTCTTGCCCGCTCCAGGTCATTCGGCATCAAGGGAAGAGTGCAGCAGAGGAAGCTGAGTAGCAGACCGGCAGCAGCAGTTGCAGCAGCAGAAGAAGCCGCAGCAGCAGCAGCAGTGGGGGGTGGTGGGCTAATGAGGAGGCTAGTCTAGGTCAAGGTGTGGGGAGGTGTGGTAAAAGGTTTGGTATGGTACAGGTGAGGTATAGTGATCTGATCCCCTCCCCTCTCTGCTGCCTCTTTTTTTCCCTGCAGCCGGAGGGTGCGAGCAATGGAGCAAGGGCGGAGAGTGGAGTCCACCCTCTCACTCACCTCCACCTCTCCCTTTTCCCTTCCCTTCCAGCAGCACCCTGCCTGGACCACAGTGGAGTCCCGCCCTCTGTTAATCCTCCCGCCCTTCCCCACTTCCCAGCAGCCTCAAGCATCATGGCGCTCTGCATGGCTGCCTGGTAAGTACAGGTAAGGAGGCATGGGGTGAATGGAGGTGGGTGTTTGGGAGGCATGGGAGCAAGCAGGCAGCTCACTTCCTTAGGGGCAGCATCCCCTGGGGTTGTGGCTTGTGGGTCGGGCAATGGTTGGTGGAATCTGCGCGGCACGGCACTCGGTGCTCAAGTAACCGATCTGGCGTTCACAGCTTAATGGACACCATCAGAGTCGACCGGCCGGCGGCTCTGGTTCGCGTCAGCTCTAGCTACGTCAGGGGTGGGATTTGAGTCTTGGGCTGGCAGCGATTTTCCACTGCCACACCTCGTCCCACATGTCACAATCCTTCAGGGTGTTGTTTCCGAAAGGTTGTGGGCTGTGCGCTGCTCCTACTGCTGGCAGGTGAAGGTGGGAAGCAAGGGGTGGTGGTGGGGGTGCTGTGTGGTATGATACAGTGTGGTATGATACAGTATTGAATAATACATTATGGTAATTTACTGTGTAGTATGGTACAGTGTGGTATGATATTGTGTGGTATGAGACAGTATGGTATGATACTACGTGCTGTGATACAGTGTGGTATGATATAGTGCGGTATGATACAGTATGGTATGATACATTATGGAATAATACATTATGGTATTATACTATATAGTATTATACAGTGTGGTATGATATAGTTTGGTATTATACTGTGTTGTATGATACAGTGTGGTATAATGCAGTGTGGTACCGGTTGATGTAGGATGGTATGAGACAGTATGGTTCAGTGTGGTGTGATACAGTGTGGTGTCATACGGTGTGGCATGATACAGTGTGGTATGGTACAGAGTGATATCGATACAGTGCAGTGTGTGTGTTATCTAATGTGGTGTGAGTGATACAAAGTGATAATGATACATTGTGGTGTGGTTCCGTATGATGGTGGCATGGTATGGTGTGACATAGTGTGGTATGATAGAGTGTGGTATGATGCCAAGTGGTGTGTTGCAGTGTGATACGATACTATGTGGTACAATAGCAGTGTGGTATGATTCTGTTTGGACTGATATTTTGTGGGATGATAGTATGGTATGATACAGTGTGCTATGTTGTGACATACTGTGGTGTGTTATTGTGTGATTCAAATGGTTTGTCAAATGTTGTTGTGTGGTATGGCATGGTGTGGGAGTGGGATGTCATGTTGCGGCATTTCATAGCGTGACATGTCATGGTGTGGCATGTCATGGTGTGGCATGTCATGGTATGGCATGTCATGGTATGGCATGTAATCATGTGCGATCGCATGTCATGGCATGGCATATCATATTGTGGCATGACATCGTGTGGCATTGCATGTCATCATGTGGCATGCCATCATGCCATATACAGGCTGGCAGCAGCTTGAGGAGCATGTGGATGACCGGGGAATGCAAGAAGGACAGTCAAGGAGGGAAGTGGAGGAAAGCGGGATGCAGGAGTGGGGGTTTGCAGATCATGGCTGCCTCAGATGCTATGCCATACAATCACTATAGTATGTTTACAACATGCGACATGTATCTGATTCTGCTTAGAGTTCAGGGCGTGCTCTGGTTTGTCCTATGTATTTGTTATTTAATGTTGTACTGTGTGCTGCTGCACCTTTAGGTTAAGCGACGGGGGATGCATATTTGGATAATCTGATTTTCTGGATGGTGAAACAGCTGATGTCCCTATATTCTCACAATCTGAGATGTATTAAACCAGTGCAGCAGTCTGCGGTGTGTATGTTTGCAGGGGTGGCCTTGCTTGTGCGTTTATGGTATGATATGCGGCGACTGACTGATGCCATGGCAGTTCATGCCCGGGTGCTGGAATCTGGTGGAGGGAAGGCCACTGCATATTGTCAGAATCACTGTGCAGTAATGATTGGATGAGCAAGAGTTGGGGTACAAGTACTAACCTTAGAAGGAGTGCCCCACTATAGCCTACAAGTAAGATTGTACTTTGACACACATATCCTGGAGAGATGCCTCCTGCCATAACCACTTCCATTGTATCACAATGCTCCCATTCATACTGATTCATCCTTGACACCATTTGTAGCTGAAGACACCTCTAGAACAGCCTTGTTCAAAAGCCAAAGAAAATGTTGAACTGCACCCCCCCCTGTGAATCACGCTGTACAGCTGCTATATAATTTGCCAATGTATAACCACTACACCTGACAGATCCAAATATATAGCCTGCCCTGGGTAAGTCCAAGTTAGATTATATTCATGTTGTCTAACACTTCTTGCAGAACAGAGAATAATTTGTACGAACTGCTGTTATCTATATTTTCTCCGTGGTTGTCGGGGCGATGGCTCGATATACGCACGCCCTCCGCGCTCGTCAAAATGCCACCCTTGCTCGGCCCCGCATCTCGGCGCCTCCCACAATTCAAACTTCCAAACCCACGCCTCGATTTCGCCATTTCCATCGTTCGTAACCCTAGCTCCCCTCGTCTCTGCTCTCCTCTCCTCTCATCTCCCCGTTTTCCCGTTTCCCCGACTCGCTGTCTGCCGAAACTATCTTCGCTCTCGTTTTGGTGAAAGCACTTTGGTGTAGAGTGTATTATTTTAGGCGTTTCACCTTAGAAGTTTTTGCGTAGGCGTTTTAGCTGAAGCATTTAAAGCGAAATGGAGGAGTCTGATTTATTGGAGAAAGATCTGATCGACCGCGATAAATTTCGGGGCGGCGATCGACCTCCGGAGGCTGTTGATTCTGGAAAAGATGGCGCGAACGGAATAGCAACGAATAACGAAGACATTGCTATGGTGGACGCTGACGGCGAAGGGCATCTCGAGAACGGCGTTGCGGATGCTAACGACGCTGAGGCGGTCGCTGGACCGACGACTGCGGAGGGAGGAGAAGACGAGGAAATGCGAGACGCGGAAGCGGTGAAAGACGACGGCGACGCGAGCGATGGTCGCGCGAATGACGTCGAGCGCGGAGACGCGGCCGCCGCGCCTGACGCAGCTGCGGCGGCGCCGGCAGGTGCGGACGAAAATGAGGGTGGCGACGCGACGGATGTTGAGGCTGGCGGGAATAAGCAAGCTGACGGCGTGGCTGACGGAGTTGACGGCGAGGGGGGAACGGAGGGCGCGGACGAGCAAGAAGGGAAGAGTGGCGAGGAGAAGGAACAGGGCGGTGATGCGATAGGCGACGAGGATGGGTTGAAGAAAAAAGCTGATGAACAGGCTGAGGAGAAAGCGGAAGAGAAAGCGGAAGAGAAAGCAGAAGAGAAAGCGGAAGAGAAAGCGGAAGAGGAACCGGGGGAGGAAATGGAGGAGGAAGCGGGGAAGGGAGAGGAAGGGAAAGCGGAGGGGAAAGCGGAGGAGGAAGCGGACGCGGAGGTGAAAGCGGAGGGGAAAGCGGAAGAAAATATGGAGGAGAGAACGGACGAGAAGAAAGATGAGAAAGCAGAAGAGGAAGCAGAAGGGGAGGTGGAAGAGAAAGCGGAAGGAGAAGCGGAAGGTGCTGCGGAAGGAGTGGAGGCGGCTGGCGGAGAAGCGGCTGCAGAGGGGGGAACGGCGACTGGTGCGGGAGAGAAGGCTCTCGACGAGGCGGAGAAGGGGAGCGCGGAGGAGGAGGAGGGGAAGGACGAGGGGGAGGGGACGGAGGGGACCGAAGAGAAGGAGGGGGAGGTGGAGAAGAAAGAGGAGGAGGGGGAGGGAGGGAAGGAAGAGGAGGAAGGGGAGGGGGAGGGGGAGAAGGAAGGGGAGGAGGGTGAGGGGGAGGAGGAGAAGGAAGAGGAGGGAAAAGAGAGGAAAACGGTGAAGGACACGAAGGCGGGGAAGGGCGAAAAGGAAGCGGACGAGGAAAAGGGGCCGATAGAGGGGAAGAAGGGCAAGGGGGGGAAGGAGGAGGTGCGGCGGAAGCAGCGGGAGGACAGGCCCGGGCAGGGCGGGGATGCCAGCGACCAGCGCAAGGCAGCAAAGGGCGCATCCCCCCATCTCCGCCCCCACGGCACTCCCGCCAAGGCTTCCGCCAACCCCCCCCCTTCTCCCGCCACCCCCGCGGCTGGCAGGGCCCGCGGGGGGGAGGAGGAGAGCGGGGGGAGCGAGGACGAGGGGGAGTGGGCGCCGGTGGTGCACGAGCTGGTGTGGGCCAAGGTGCGCTCGCACCCCTGGTGGCCTGCGCGCGTGCTCTCCCCCTCCGAGGCCACCCCCAGGGCGCGCGCACAGCACCGCACGGGGCACCTGCTCATTGGCTTCTATGGCGACCAGACCTTGTGAGTGCCCCTCGTCCTGCCCGCCCGCGCGCCTTGTGAGCCCCCTGCTGCCTTGTGAGCCCCCTGCTGCCTTGTGAGTGCCCTGCTGCCTTGTGAGTGCCCTGCTGCCTTGTGAGTGCCCTGCTGCCTTGTGAGCCCCCTGCTGCCTTGTGAGTGCCCTGCTGCCTTGTGAGTGCCCTGCTGCCTTGTGAGTGCCCTGCTGCCTTGTGAGTGCCCTGCTGCCTTGTGAGTGCCCTGCTGCCTTGTGAGTGCCCTGCTGCCTTGTGAGTGCCCTGCTGCCTTGTGAGTGCCCTGCTGCCTTGTGAGTGCCCTGCTGCCTTGTGAGTGCCCTGCTGCCTTGTGAGTGCCCTGCTGCCTTGTGAGTGCCCTGCTGCCTTGTGAGTGCCCTGCTGCCTTGTGAGTGCCCTGCTGCCTTGTGAGTGCCCTGCTGCCTTGTGAGTGCCCTGCTGCCTTGTGAGCGCCCTGCTGCCTTGTGAGTGCCCTGCTGCCTTGTGAGTGCCCTGCTGCCTTGTGAGTGCCCTGCTGCCTTGTGAGTGCCCTGCTGCCTTGTGAGTGCCCTGCTGCCTTGTGAGTGCCCTGCTGCCTTGTGAGTGCCCTGCTGCCTTGTGAGTGCCCTGCTGCCTTGTGAGTGCCCTGCTGCCTTGTGAGCCTTGTGAGCGCCCTGCTGCCTTGTGAGTGCCCTGCTGCCTTGTGAGTGCCCTGCTGCCTTGTGAGTGCCCTGCTGCCTTGTGAGTGCCCTGCTGCCTTGTGAGTGCCCTGCTGCCTTGTGAGTGCCCTGCTGCCTTGTGAGTGCCCTGCTGCCTTGTGAGTGCCCTGCTGCCTTGTGAGTGCCCTGCTGCCTTGTGAGTGCCCTGCTGCCTTGTGAGTGCCCTGCTGCCTTGTGAGTGCCCTGCTGCCTTGTGAGTGCCCTGCTGCCTTGTGAGTGCCCTGCTGCCTTGTGAGTGCCCTGCTGCCTTGTGAGTGCCCTGCTGCCTTGTGAGTGCCCTGCTGCCTTGTGAGTGCCCTGCTGCCTTGTGAGTGCCCTGCTGCCTTGTGAGTGCCCTGCTGCCTTGTGAGTGCCCTGCTGCCTTGTGAGTGCCCTGCTGCCTTGTGAGTGCCCTGCTGCCTTGTGAGTGCCCTGCTGCCTTGTGAGTGCCCTGCTGCCTTATGAGCCCCCTGCTGCCTTGTGAGTGCCCTGCTGCCCGCCCGCGCGCCTTGTGAGTCCCCCTGGTCCTGCCCGCGCCTTGTGGCCACTGCTTTGTGTGCGGGTGGTGCTGTCTGTGCGCATGCTGCTGCTGCCCTTCCCTCCTCCCACCATCCCCTCCCCTCCCCTTTTTCCCACCATTGCCGACAGCAATTGGTTGCGCCCCATGGATCTGCTACCATTCGCGTCGCACTACTGGGAGAAGTCACAGCAGACGCCCATGAAGCTGTTCTGCCAGGCCGTGGCGGAGGCGCTGGTGGAGCTGGACGACCAGGTCGCCAAGGGCCTGCTGCACGGCGCCCCGCCCTCCACTCTCGCCGCCCAGCACCGCCGCGTCAACCCCAGTGCGCCATCTCTGCTTTGGCGGCCTTGCCGTGACCATTGGCTTGTTGCAAGCGCACGTTGCTTTTCTTGTCTTCTTTCCCTGCCTGCCCTCCGTTTTCCGCCTTTCTGCCCTTTCACCTCCTCATTCCTCTCGGCTCCTCTCATTTCCTCTCCTCTTCGCGCGTCCCTTCCCCCGTCGCCTCCTCACCCCCCACCAGCGGTCATGCTCTCCTATCTGCGAGCCACGGCCCGCAATCCCATCGGCGGGTGAGTCGCACTGGTGCCCCATCGCCCCATGCATGCACGGCCCTCGCCCCACATACCTTGCATGCACGGCCCTCGCCCCACATACCATGCATGCACGGCCCTCGCCCCACATACCATGCATGCACGGCCCTCGCCCCACATACCTTGCATGCACGGCCCTCGCCCCACATACCATGCTTGCACGGCCCTCGCCCCACATACCTTGCATGCACGGCCCTCGCCCCACATACCTTGCTTGCACGGCCCTCGCCCCACATACCTTGCTTGCACGGCCCTCGCCCCACATACCTTGCATGCACGGCCCTCGCCCCACATACCATGCATGCACGGCCCTCGCCCCACATACCATGCATGCACGGCCCTCGCCCCACATACCATGCATGCACGGCCCTCGCCCCACATACCTTGCATGCACGGCCCTCGCCCCACATACCTTGCATGCACGGCCCTCGCCCCACATACCTTGCTTGCACGGCCCTCGCCCCACATACCATGCATGCACGGCCCTCGCCCCACATACCTTGCTTGCACGGCCCTCGCCCCACATACCATGCTTGCACGGCCCTCGCCCCACATACCATGCTTGCATGGCCCTCGCCCCACATACCATGCTTGCACGGCCCTCGCCCCACATACCTTGCATGCACGGCCCTCGCCCCACATACCTTGCTTGCACGGCCCTCGCCCCACATACCATGCATGCACGGCCCTCGCCCCACATACCATGCATGCACGGCCCTCGCCCCACATACCATGCTTGCACGGCCCTCGCCCCACATACCTTGCTTGCACCCGCCCACCTAGACTGCTGCACCCGTCTGTGCCTTCTCATGCCGCCCTCTGCCCTTCGTCCCTCTACTCTCACCCCCCCCACCAACCAGCATCATCTGATCCTCCCAACCCCCATCTTCACTCCCCACACCTTCCCCTCGCATTGTGCCCTCCTGTTTCTCCCACGCCCCCCCTTCCCTCCCCATCCTCCTTCCCCCTTCCCCCCGTCTCCCTCCACCTCCTCCGCGCAGGCACCGCGACGCGCTGCTGGCAGCAGTGCTGCGGCAGCGGTTCATGCAGGGGGGCGGGGAGCGCGCCAAGGTGGGGCGCGCGGAGCAGGGCGCGCGCAGGCCGGACCTGGGGGAGCTGTTTCTGGTGGAGGGGCGGCTGGTGGTGCCCGATGGGGAGGGGGGCGGGGGCGCTGGGGCGGAGGGGAAGAAGAAGGGCGGAGAGAAAGGGGGGAAGCGGAGGGCTCATGTGGAGGAGGAAGAGGAGGAGGAGAAGGAGGAGGAGCAAGAGGAGGAGAAGATGGAGGAAGAGGAGGAGGAAGAGGAGGTGGTGGTGGTGAAAGAGAAGAAGAAGCGAGGGCGGAAGTGGGAGGAGGATGAGGAGGAAGTTGAGGTGGGTGAGGAGGAAGAGGAGGAGGACGAGGAAGATGGGAGGAGGAAGAAGGGGCGCAAGGGCAAGCAGAGGGAGAAGGGCGGAAAGAGGCGTGGGAGGAAGAGAAAGCACGAGGAGGACGAGGAGGAAGAGGAGCAAGAGGAGGAGGAGAAGGAGGAGGAGCAAGAGGAGGAGGCGGGGGAGGAAGAGGGTCTGAAGCGGAGGAAGAAGAAGATGAGGCGACGCAAGTCGGAGGGGGCGCCGGGCGAGGAGAGGGAGGGGGAGGAGGGGAAGCGGCGGAGGAGGAAGAAGCGCGTGGTGGACGAGGAGGAGGGCGCGGAGGGGGAAGCAGGGGAGGAGGGAGCAGCGGACGGGGGAGCAGGGGGGGAGGAGGAGGAGAGCGCTGGGGCAGGTGTGGCGGCAGGGAAGAAAGCGGGGGAGGGAGAGGCCAAGGAGGGGGCGGAAGGGGCGGAGGAGCAGGGGGATGAGGTCAAGTCCCCGGTGCACTCGCCGCTGCGCTCACCTGTGCAGTCGCCTGGGGGGGCGGGAGCAGGTGGTGGGGGAGGGGGTCGAGGCAAGGGGCGGCCGAGCAACGCGCACAAGTGGGCGGTGGAGATGCAGCGGCTGGGCATCAAGGCCGCCGCTGAAACCGCCCGCGACGACCTGCTGCGCCTTGCTAGGAGCCCCCTGGACCTGTGCGTGTGAGGGGGGGAGAGGGGGGTGTGAGTGGGAAGGGGCATGTGAGTGGGGGAGGGGGCATGTGAGTGGGGGAGGGGGCATGTGAGTGGGGGCAATGCAGCATGTGCACGTCAGCAATGCATGCATGGAGGGACGTCAACACTCACATGTCTCTCCTTCCATGTCCTGCCTGTGCGTCCACCCACCACCCGTGTGCCACAGGGCGGATCTGAGCGAGACACTGAAGCCCGTGGCAGCATGGCGCCAGCACACCTTCTGGTTCGCCCGCTCGCACAAACCACAACCTGCTGCCGCTGCTGCTGCTGCTGCCAGCAAGGGTACGTGTTTCCGTTTTTCCTCCACTCTCTTCCTCTTTCCTTGGTAACTCGCTCCCTCCACTCACCAGCCGGTCGCTCATTACTGTGCCCTCCTCTCCTTAACTTGCTGTCAATTCAATGCTGTCCTGCTGCCCCGCTCGCCCTCTGTCTGCCCTGCAGGCGAGGCAAAGAAGGCCCCAGCAGGCAAGGCAGGCGAGGAGGCGGCGGGTGACAAGAGTGCAGCGGCGGGAGAGGCAGAGAGAGAGGTGGGCGCGGAGGGAGTCGCGAGGGCGGAAGCAGAAGGGAAGGCTGCGGAGGAGAAGGCACCAGGCGAGGCTGTGGCGGGCGCTGGGGGCGAGGAGGGCGCTGGAGGCGCTAAGGGAGAGGAGGAGGAGAAGGGGAAGGCAGAGGAGGGTGAGAAAGAGAGGGAGGTGGTTCCCGGTGAAGGCGCTGCTCCGATGGAGGTGGAGGGAGGGGAGGCGGAGGCAGGCGGGGAGAAGGAGAAGGAAGTGGTGAAGGAGGAGAAGGGAGAAAAGGAAGGGGTAACTGGGGAGAAGGAGCGTGGGGATCAAGGGGCGAAGGAAGAGGAGGTGAGTGAGGAGGAGAGGAAGCAAGGCGAGCAGGTGAAGGAGAAGGGGGTTGAGGAGAAGGAGAAGGAGGAGGAGGGAGTGGGAGTGATAACAGGCGAGGTGGAGGAGGAGGACAGGTGGGAGGAGGAGGCGGAGGAGGAGGAGCCGGTGCCGCGCCCGCCACCACCAGCGGCACCAGCACGCAAGGCAGTGGCAGCAGAGGCAGCAGCACCAGGGGAAGCAGCAGCAGGGGAGGAGGGGGCGGGTGCGGCGGTGCGGCCGAGGGGGCGCACCAAGGCGGAGGTGAAGGCGCGGCGGCAGCAGCGGCTGGTGGACGCCCGCCCTGGCAGTGAGAGCGAGGGGGGCGAGGGGGACGAGGAGGAGGACGGGCGCAGCGATGACGAGCGGCCTGTGGCAGCAAGGGGCAGGGGGCGCGGGCGCGGGCGGGGGTCGAGAGGGGGGAGGGGCGGGCGGGGCAGAGGGGAGGCAGGAGGGCTGGCAGGGGGGAGAGAGGGGGTGAGTTTGACTGGGAGGGGGAGGGGGAGGGGAAGGGGGAGAGGCAGGGGGAGGGGCAGGGGGCGAGGAGGAGTGGGAGGAGGGGCGGAGGCTGGTGGGGCGGAGGGCGGAGGGGCGGAAGGAGGGGAGTGGGAGGGGAGGCAGCGTGAGGGAGGGGAGGCGGGGCAGGAGAGGGCTTTGCGGCAGCGCAAGGCGGTGGGGCCCGCGCGTGTGGAGGGGGACGCACTCAGCCCGGAGGGCCGGCGGCGGTCGCTGCAGCAGCTGGCCGCTGCTAAGAGGGAGGCGCGGGGCGGGGCAGGCGCGGATGGTGAGTGCAGATGGGAAGGGGGGGGTGTGGCTGTGGCTGTGCGTGTGCATGTGTGGCACGAGAGCATGGTGGGGCCGTGTGTTTGCTGTGTGCACTCAGTTGAGTCAAACCACACCTGTATGCTTCGCTCTCTGTACTGCTCTGCACTGCCCCGCTCTCCCTCCGTACACCGACCCTGCCTCGCCATGCGACTCAACTCCTCGTCCGCACTGCACCAGGTCCTCACCATCCGCACTGCACCAGGTCCTCTCCATCCGCTTCCCCTCTCTCCCGCCTCTCTCTTTCTCCTTCACTTCCCCTGATTCCTCCCCCTGCCCCCGTCTCTTTCTCTCCTCCCCTGCGTCGCTCCCTGCCCCCCTCCCCCGCCCCTGCCCTTCTCTACAGAATCGCCCCCGCATGCGCTAGCGCTGACCACGCAAGATGCCACGTCAGTCCCACCTGGATGGCAGCAGGTGCGTGTTGTGCTCTGCTTGTGGCGGGCTGAGTTGGTGTTGCATGATGTGGCATGTGGCATGGCATGGCATGTTGTGGCATGCTGTTGCGTGGTGTAACAGCATGGCGTAGTGTGGTGTGGTGCGGGATGGTGTGGTGGTGTAATGTGACGTGGATGGAGATGAAGCAGCAGAGTCTGTTCCATATGGTATGATGGTGTTTCTCATCCTTGGATCATGCATTCCCTTACATCCCTCTCTCACCCTCCACCTCTCTCTCTCTCTCCCGTCCCTCACTCCCACCCCTAAAGCCCCACTCCCATCCCCAGCAGCAGCAGGGGCAGGGTCAGCTGGGTTGGCAACAGGGCTGGCAACAGGGCGGGCAGCAGAGCGGGCAGCAGCAGCAGCAGCAGCAGCAGCAGCAGCAGCAGCAGCAGCAGCAGCATGGGCAGGGGGGCGGGGGGCAGCAGCAGGGGCAGGGGGGCGGGGGGCAGCAGGGGCAGGGGGGCGGGGGCCAGCAGGGGCAGGGGGGCGGGGGGCAGCAGGGGCAGGGGGGCGGGGGGCAGCAGGTGCTGTGCATGCGCTTCCCAAAGCTCATGCCGGCGCCCTCCGTGGCGCAGCTGCGCGCCACCTTCGCTCGCTTCGGAGCGCTGCTGGGCGCCAAGCTCATCAAATACCAGGGCGTCGCTGAGGTGAGTCGCTGAGGTGAGGGGGAGGGGGTGTCGCTGCGGTGAGGAGGAGACTTGGGGGAGTTAGGTTGTTGTCACCAATGTCAATGTCAATGTCAATGTCAATGTCAATGTCAATGTCACAGGCACTCTCTTCCAATCATGCCATGTGCCCCAGACCCCCACACCCCTTCTCTCCCACGCAACCATGCCCCTGCCCGTCTCCCCACCCCTCCCCTCCTCCTCCCATGCGCGCAGGCGGTGTTGAGGACCCATCATCAGCCACAGCACTTTTGAGGCGCCTCAAAGGTCATCTCCCTAACCCTGCACCTCCCCAACCCTCCCCCTCCCCTGCGCCCGCCATGCACGTAGGTGGTATTCGAGGACCCGTCGTCAGCCACAGCAGCCATGCACGAGGCCATGCACGGCTCCTCTCTCTTCGGCTCCTGGGACGTGCAGTTCCGCCTGCGCCCATACACCGCCTCCGTCAGTGCCCCCCCCTCGCCCCTTCCCCCTTGCTTGCTCTCGCTCTTCCTTTCCTCCACTCTCTTCGCCTCTCCGCTCCACGCTGTGCCGTGCTGCTAGCGTGCCATGCTGCTGGCGTGCCATTCCCGCGTCCATTGGTTCCTCTCAATGCTCATCCATGTCTCTGCTCTCTGCATTCCGCCCTCTGCCTCTCCACACGCACCTCCCCTCGCCCCCCCCTTTCAACCACCTCCTCACCTCTCCTCTTCGCGTTCGTCTCCACTCTCATCTCTCTTATTGCTCCCTGATCCTCTCCCCTGCCCCCTCTTCCCCCCCTCCCCTTCTCTCCTGCCACCAGATTGACTCTGCAGTCCCTATCAGGCCCACATATCCCTCCGCCCACACCCCCCCACCCTCCGCCCACGGCCACCCTCCCTCCGCCCGCACACCACCTGCGCGCCTTCCCCCCGCGGCCTCCCCCGCCCCCACTCCCCCGCGCGCCCTCGCCCCTCCCCCTGCCGGTGCTGCCCTCGTGCCCGCCGCTGCTGCTGGCCGCCTCACACCCTCACAGCGCCACAGCCTGGTGCGTGCCAATGCGTGCCAATGCGTGCCAATGCGTGCCAATGCGTGCCAATGCGTGCCAATGCGTGCCAATGCGTGCCAATGCGTGCCAATGCGTGCCAATGCGTGCCAATGCGTGCCAATGCGTGCCAATGCGTGCCAATGCGTGCCAATGCGTGCCAATGCGTGCCAATGCGTGCCAATGCGTGCTGTTGCTTGGATCACCTTCTCACTGCCGTCACTCGGGCACACCCGTGTCTGTTGCTATCCTTCACATACCTCTCTTCACTCCTCTTCTCTCTCTCCTCGCGCCCCACCGTTGCCTCTCACCGGATCTCCCCCCTCGTCTCCCTCGTGCCAGCAACTCATTCATTCCGCCCTCTGCTGCCCACCTCCACCTCTGCCTCGCCCCTCTCTACACTTCTCCTCTCCTCCTTATCTTCTCCCCACTCGCCTCTTTCCCCCGCCCTCTCCCTCCCCTCCCCCCAGGCGAATCCAGCGCAGGCGGCGCAGAGGCCGGGCAGTGGAGCCTGGATGGGCACGCCCACCGCGCTCGCCCCCTCCGTTGCCCCTCAGTGGATGCCCCTCCTCCTCCTTTCCCTCCTGCCCGCTCACACTCGTTCCACCCTCTCTTCCCCGTCCCCCCCCCCCCCCCCCCCCACCCCCCCTCTTTCCTCCAGGCGAATCCAGCGCAGGCGGCACAGAGGCCGGGCAGTGCAGCATGGATGGGCACGCCCACCACGCTGGGCCCGTCCACGCGCTCGCTGCTGCCGCGCTCCGCCCTCGCCCTCTCCAAGGACCCCCGCCGCCAGTCCCATGCCTCCGCCGCTGCTGCCACTTCTCCTGGCGCTGCTGGTGGTGGTGGGGGTATGGGCGGACAGCAAGGCAGGGAGGGGTTGCCTCCTGGGTTTGCAGCAGGGGCAGGGGGAGCGGGGGATGCAGGAGGAGGGGATGGGGGAGCAGGAGGCGGCGATTGGTGGGAGGCACAGGACGCCCTCCCCACGCCCCCTGTGGAACCCACTCACCCTCCGCACCCAGCCGCACCCCCTCCCACACACTCGCCCGCCGCTCCACCTTCCCTCCCTTCTACCCCTGCCCCTCTGTCCACATTCTCCCAGGCCCCTGCTGCTGCCACTGACGGCACTGCCGGTGCCATGGTTGCTGCTGCAGGGGCCGGGGCAGGGGCAGGAGAAGGGAGTGGGGGGGCAGGAGGGGGAGGCGGGGCGGTGCCGGACATAAAGCAGAGCATGTTCAGCCTGCTGAGCAAGGTGCAGGCCATTGTGTCGCAGCCTGAAGGGGAGGGGCGTGCATCACAAGGGGCTGACGCCAATTCGTGAAGCATGTGGAGTGCCAGGGGGTTCTAGTGCTGTGCGGCGACCGCTGTTGGATACCCCCTCCCCCACATGCGCTGCTGCCATGCCTCTCGCACTTCTCCCCTGCCTCTCCGCTGCTCTCTAACTGCTCTTCTCGGCTCGTGCCGGAAACCCCTCCACCCCACTGCCTGCTCTCTCCTCTCCTCCCTACTCCTGCCCAATGTCCACTGCCCACTGCCCACTGCCCACTGCCCACTGCCCACTGCCCACTGCCCACTGCCATGTTGTGTGGCCTCTCTGGTGCCCCCAGTGTGTGCAGCAGGCACACTACCACGTGTCACATGTGCGCTGCCTCACCACCTCACTAATCACACCCTCTCATCGCTCTGCCTGCCCTTTAGTGCCGTGGCTCACTGCGTCTCCCTGTGCCACCCTGCCAGAGCACCATGCACGAGGGTACTTCCCTGAATGGATTCTCTAGTAACTAGCGCGTATTCTACTAGTAGTGTGTTATGTGTGGTGGGTTGCTTGTGGCTGTGCCTGTGTGTGCACGTCGCATCCTTCAGGTGTGCTGCTGAGCTCATAGGTCTGCTCTAAAGATTCTCGCTTGCTTGCTCTGCTGATTTGGGCATTCTGCCGACCTACTTTTACTTCCACCTAACAGCTACAGTAGTTGCACTTTTTTAACCTACTTGATTGTACAAAATATGCTACTGTGTTGTGCACTTTAAGAGTTTTGTTGCAGTGAAGCACCTGTACAAGGTAATCAATACTCCAATGTTAGACAATGCAATGCAACACGTCTGGATTGAAATTGTGTACACAAACGTATTAATGTACCGTATAAAATTGCTATTTCAAGCAGAGATGGTGTACCAAAATGGCAAATTGTCATGCCAACACATCACCATCACTTCACACTAGACTAGAGCATGTGTACACCGTGCAACAAAAAACAAGTTGCACATAAAAATGCTGCTTTCACAGCAACGAATTAACAACACAAAAGGTGGTTGCTCCCAGCGAGGCATGAGGTGGGGCCTCAGGAGGGAAAGAGGCGGACGTGCTGCCGCGGTACCACCGCCGAGTCGAGAGCGGCAGGCGGGGGGAAGGCGGGCAGGGAGTGGGGGTCTGCTGGGTTGTGGTGCTGGTGGTGCGGTAGGTGTGGCGAGACAAGGGAGAGGAAGGTGAGCGGGCCCCACCCCTTCTTGCCCATGGCTGCTGCTGCCGCATCCTGCACCCCGCACAGAGAGGGGAGGGACAGAGAGGAAAGACCTTGTTAGAGATGAGCTAAGGATGGCATGATAAGCAGGGAGAAGGACCAACGGGAATGCAAGACGGGCAACAAACAGACTCGTGAGGTGCCTCGATCAGGGGCATGTAGTGGGAGGTGTGAATGAGGTGAATGGGGCGAGCAGCAAAGAGCAGAGCGCAGAGCAGAGCGAGGCGGGAGCAGGATGACTGACCTCGCTGGACAGCCGCTCGGGCTTGCTGCGTTGAGGCGACCGCAACCCACGATTATGCGCCCTTCCTGCGGCGGCGGCTGCGGCGGCAGCATGTCCGCCCAGCTGTGCCTCTATCTGCGCCTCTATCTCCGCCTGCGCCTGTGCCTCCGCCTCTGCCTGCGCCTGTGCATGCGCCTGTGCATGCGCCTGTGTGTGCCCCTGTGCCTGTGCGTGCGTGTGCGCGTGCGCGTGGGCGTGGGGTATTCTTCCCTCCGCGCCAGCGCCGCCAGTGATGGTCGCGCCCGCCTCTGCCATGGCGCTCACGCGGAACGGCAGTCCTGTCAGCGCCACGCGCCCTGTGGGGCCCCCATACAGCCCCCCCGCCCCAACCCCCGCCCCGCCCCTCTGCTGCTCCGCCGCCCCTGGCGCCGCTGCTTCCGCGCCTGGCGTTGCTGCGCCGGGAGGCGCTCTGGTTGCGCCGGCGGGGTCGTTGGGCGCATTGCTGCGGTCGCGCGCATTGGTGGCATTGCCCGCCGCCAGCCGCTGCTGCTGCTGCTGCAGCGCCATCAACTTTTGCCCCACCTCAGCCGTCACACCCGCCCTCATCGCCGCTAGGTGCTCCTGTCCCTCTTGCGCCTGCCGCTGCTGCTGCTGCTGCTGCTGGTACTGCCGCAGTTGCTGTTGCACCAGTACAGGTACGAACGGCGTTTCATCTTTCACTCTTCGGAACATTGTAGATGGGAACGGCGTGTCATCTCCCCACACGTTACTGAATCCGCGCTTCCCCAGCACTCCCCCCCCTTCCTTTCCCGCCATGCCCCCACCGTCCTTCTTCGACCCTTCCGCCTGCCTCCCCTCCGCCACTTTTCCCCTCTGCGCGCGTGCGCCATCGGCGGGGGCGGGGCGCGGGGCAGAGGGGAACAGTTGCAGTTCCACCAGACTGGACACGCGCGCGGACGGCGACAGCCCTTCCGCCGTCCCGTGCCCGGCTCCTCCGCCCTGCCCGCCCAGAACTGCCGCCCAACGCGGCAGCGCCGACGTCGCCCCGCCCGCCACGTTCCCCTTCCCCGCAGCCGCTTGCTCCGGCGCCCCCGCCGCAGGGGGACGAGTCCCCTTTTCTTCCGCCGGCACGTCCTTGGGGAAGGGCGGCTGCACGCCTTCCGCCTGCAAGGCGTGCGCGGCGGCGGCGGCGTCCCCTGCAAGAATGGCTTCCGCGGCCTGGATGGTGGCGGGCGAGGGGAAGTACGGCACCATCTGGTCGTTCCACGGGACCACGCCCGGCGCAACCCCTCCCGCACGGCCCCCCCCGTCCGCGCCGTCCGCTCTCCCCGCCGCCAGTTCTGCCGCTTCTCCATCTGCGACTTGCTTTTTCGCCTCTCCGCATTCCCCCTGCTCCGGTCCTCGCGCCGCCTTCCCCGCCCTGTCCGCCGCCATCACCGCCGCCGCCGCCGCCTCCATCTGCACGGCCAGTGGGAGCTCCTCCCCGCCCGCGCGCACCCCCTGCGCCTCCCCCTCCCCGTTATCCGCAGGCCCGCGCCACGGCCCCACCCCGCTGGCGGCGGCGGAGTCGCACGAAGCGGAGCGCGCCAACCCTCCTGCGCCGCCCCTCGCGCTGGCCGCCAGCGTGCTGTGCGACGCGGCGGGGGCGGATGCGCCGTTGGCGCAGCTGAGCTCGGGGCGCACGAGCGCGGTGTGCACGCGCATGGGCAGGCGGTGGTCGGGCGCGCGCGAGAACGCGACGAGCACCTCCTCCGTGTCGCCCAGCCCCTCGTCGCACCCGTTGGCGGCCGCCGCCTTCAGCGCCGCCTCGCGCTGCCACATCGTATCGACCGCCTCCTGCAGCCGCTGCCGCGCCGTGAGCACATCCAGCACCGGCCGCGGGTAATTCGCGCCCAACTCCACCCCCGCCATGCGCAGCACGACGGGCGGCGCGTCCCACGGGTGGTGAATCCAATCCGTCGGCACGCGCGCGAGTTCCGGCACCCATCTCCGCACGTATTCCCCCTCGGGGTCGAAGCGGTAGCCGTCCTCCTCGGGATCATCCATTCGATCCAGCTCGTGGCCGTCGGGCAGCGAGCCGCTGATGTACTGCCAGCCCAGCACGTCGGCCTCGAGATCGGCGTCGAGCAGCGTGTCCCAGAAGTACTTCATGCCCCACCGCCACGGCAGCTGCAGGAACTTCACGCAGAACGACGCCACCACCACGCGGATGCGGTTGTGCAGCCACCCCGTCGCCCACAGCTCGCGCATCCCCGCGTCCACGAGCGGGTACCCCGTGCGCCCCTGCCGCCATAGCTTGAACATGTGCTCGTCCACGCGCCACGGGAAGTGCTTGAGGTTCGCGAGGAGGGAGCGCTCGTGCGTGAAGGGGAAGTTGAAGGAGAGGTAGCGCGAGTACTCGCGGAAGCCCAGCGCGCGCACGAACTGCGCGACGCTCTCCGCCGCGCGCGGCAGCCCGTCCTTCTGCCACGCGACGCTCAGGCGCTGGCATTCGTGGAAGATGCGGCGCGCGGAGATCTCGCCGAAGTGCAGGTGCGGGGAGAGCAGCGACGTCGTGGCGCTGTCCGCCTTGCTGCGGTTCGCCGCGTACTCGAGCAGCGGCCCGTGCAGGAACGCGACGAGCGCGCGGTCCGCGTTGGTGCAGCCGGGCAGCCAGGCGCGCGCGAGCAGGTCGTTGCTGGGGCGCTCGTCGTCCGCCTCGAGCCCCAGCAGGTCCACCGCCACGCTCCGCACGAACCCCAGCGGCCCGCACAGGCGCGCGGGCGCGGGGAGCGGCGGGTCGGGGCGGGAGGGGCGCGGGTGGTGCAGGCAGTGGCGCCAGAAGGAGCGGAAGGTGGTGAAGGCCTTGCCGTGGTCGTCGAAGATCTCCCAGGGCTCGAAGAGCAGATCCGCGTTGAAGGAGCGCACCACCACTCCGCGCCGACTCAGCTCCTGCTTCACGCGGTGGTCGCGCACCAACGACGCGGGGTCTGGGGGAGGGGCGGCGGAGGGGGGGGGGAGGGGGGGAGATGGGGGGAAGAGGGGGAGGGGAAAAGGGAGGGAGGGAGGGTGTGAGGGAGTAGTACGAGGGATCTGGAGGTCGGTCGTGGATGAGTCGTGACGAGGCGTGGACGAGTTGTGGACGAATCGTGGAGATGGGCGGCATGCCGAGGAGGGACACGGAGGAAATGGTAAGATTTGAGAAGCAGGAGAGACTAGAAGAGTACAAGTCAGCATCTGGTGCAATGAGAGCAGGTTGAGCCGCGCAGGTGCCAAGGCGGGGCGTATGGCGGGGTGCACGGGGGGACACAGGAGTAGGGAACGGCGGAGGGCGAGGCGCAGGGCGGGGCGCGCACCGTAGAGGTGGTTGTAGAAGACCTGCGTGGCGCCGGTGGCCGCCATGACTTCCAGCAGCACCGCCAGGGTCGACTTGGCGCGCCGCATGAAGAGCGGCACGCCCAGCGCCGTGAGCGCCGCGTGCAGCTGCGAGAGCGAGTTGCGCAGCCACCAGCGCGACACGCGGCCGGGGAAGAACTGCCCCTCCTCCTCCGGCGACCACACGAAGAGCGGCACCACGGCGCCCTGCTGCGCCGCCGCGATGAGCGCGGGGTTGTCCTCCACGCGCAGGTCGCGGCGGAACCACACTATCGTCGTCACCTTGGACGTGCGCGCCGCTGCAAACGCTGCTGACACCTGACTCGACGTCATATTCGGGGATGAGGGTGTCTAAGGAAAAGTCTAAGATACAAATATCCTTTTTACATAAGCTTGTCGCCTGCTGTACCAGGAAAACATATCAGATTTCCATGTCGACGCATCGACGGAGCGCACTCGCCGCGAAGAAACTACGCGTAACGAGCAAGGTGAATATGCATTTAGCAGCTCAGGCCAGGAATCCTTTGTGACACTTGAACCAAGCTCGCGGAAGTGACTAGGGTTTCAGAAGTTTGGTCAGATCCCTAGGTCGTGGAACAGAACACTGAACAGAAGCAGGTGGTAAGAGGGAAGAGTGAGCAAGGTGAGGATGATGGAACATCCGCAAGCGATATCATTCCACCATACTTTAACCATCTCCACCTTCTTGAAGCTGTAGCCAATCGCACTGCAACTCTCCGTTACAAACTTCATGATTGCAATAGTGGATGTCGGGTGGTGGGGAGAAAAAATGGAGAAAATCCGTCACATGCAATGCAGGGCAGGAGGAGGTCCCAGAAAATGGATTCCCGCTCTGACCCGGGCAGCCAAAACAGTGCATAGAACAAGCTGGCTACTTGCTGGTGGGGTTGTGGATGGGATTGGAAGGGCAGGGCACGGATAGCAGTGGTCACGGAGAAGATGGTGACGGATGGGGGGAATCGATGGAGCGCAATGAAGGGGAAGGAGGGACTCTTTTACTGTGCCGTGAGCGCACGAGGTTTCCGCAACACCTTGGAGTTGCCGCTGTGCGGGAAAGGGGCGCCCCGCCCGCCGAGCAATTGTCCCTCCCTGCACCAAGCATATGCACGAGCGAACCGGAAGGCTCCGTGTCACACTTCGTCCAGGCCCACCTGGCTGGCTGCAGCTATTCATCGCTCTCATCCACCGAACCGAAATTGATTCGTTTTGTCGCGTTTGCTCTCAATCGCCAAAAGTCCACCGCGAGAATGTGCAAGGCTTCAAATTGGCGGTCGGCACTGATCGTAACAAATCAGATCCAGACCATGTGGATGGGTTCTCTGCCAGCATAGAACAGCCACACCAGCCACGCTTCCACACATCAGGACAACTTTCAGCAGTGGGTTTGTTTTCTGGAATCCCGAGAAACAAGGAGGTGATGGAGCAGGAAGAGGCGCTGCAATTTCAGGGAAAATGCTATGTTTGCCCTGCAAATAAATAATACCAATCATAAGCATACACCGTGCGGTTAGAACTTTATTCATCCTTCGCTTTTACAGTTCGTTTTTCCCTCATTCCATCTCAGAAAATCTTGAGCCACCAGCAAGTGCATCTTTTAGGAGTGGAGTACTCTTTCCAGCTGGTGCCTCGCATACAATATTACACAGCACATCGACTCTTCTTGATCCTAGGCACTCAAACACACTTGTTAGGAAACAATGCAATAATAAACTACCGGTATGCGGTGCTTGTATTCACACCATATCTTCAGCAACCTTGAGTGACTCTGGGCCACTTTCAGACTTTGCATTTGCAGATCCCACGGGCTTTGAATTGGCAACACCATTGCCCCCATCCACACTCGCTACCACAGCAACTCCATTGGTGGTGCTCCCTGCCACCTTCAAGCTGCCAGCGCCCCCTGCTGCTGCGGCTGTTGCAGCGGCAGCAGCAGCGTCCTTCACGGCGAGTTCCTGCTGCAGCAGCTGCACCATGCCCTCCGCCTGCTCCTTCTGCAGCTTCCACTGCCGCGCCGCCGCCTGCAGCTGCTGAATCTCCTCCCGCTGCTGCCGCAACTCCCCCGTCAGCCGCTCGATCTCCGCCGCCACCGCCTCCCCGCGCTCGTCGTCGCTCTCCTCCTCCTGTTGCTGCCGCCTCGCCTCTGCCGCCGCCGCCAGGTCGTCCTCCATGGACAGCAGACCCTGATGGGGGGGATTGCAGGGCATCGCTCAGTTTGGCTTGCTTGCTGTGTAAACGAACAGGCACACGCACAGCAGCAACATGTGTGCGTGCGTGCGTGCGTGCGTGCATGTGTGTGTGTGTGTGTGTGTGTGTGCGTGTTCCTGTGTGTGCGTGTGTGTGTGTGTGTGCGTGTGTGTGTGTGTGTGTGCGTGCGTGTGTGTGTGTGCATGTGTGTGTGTGCGCGTGCGTGCACGCGCGCGCGTGAGTGAGCGCACGTGCATGTGTCTTTGCACAAGTGGGTGTGCGTGGTTTGTGAGTTGGGTGGGGATGAAGGGGGGGATGGAAGGTGTGTGCGTGCACCACAGCAAGCCTTAAAATAGCTGAGAGCACATGCGAGGCGGGAAGTACGGCACTAGGAGAGGGCGGGCAGTGCGGCACTAGGAGAGGGCGGGCAGTGCGGCACTAGGAGAGGGCGGGCAGTGCGGCACTAGGAGAGGGCGGGCAGTGCGGCACTAGGAGAGGGCGGGCAGTGCGGCACTAGGAGAGGGCGGGCAGTGCGGCACCAGGAGGGGCGGGCAGGGCGGCACTCACATTGTCGACCTCGAGGTACTTGCGGAACGATGCTGCAATGGCTGTCGCCTGGCAGGCAGGGGAGGGACAACACAAGGGAGAGGGCAACACAAGGATGGGCAGAACGGGTGGAGAGAGCATGAGCACAGAGAGCAGGGGAACCAGCTGGTGGGCACAATGAAGGGCCTGTGAGTGTGAAGCAGCACACCCGGCAGATGCTGGGTGACACGTGGCACGCCCCATCTCTTCCCCCTCCTCCCCCTTTCCCCCGCACCTGGGCGGCGGACCAATCAGAGGTGGCGGAGCCGGTGTTACCGCCGTTGTTGCGCTGCTCGTAGATCTGAGTGGCCAGCGCCGTCATCTCCTCCTGCCGCCCCTCCAGCAGCCGGCGCTTGGCGTCCGCCAGGCAGTCCAGGTACGGGTGCGCCACGGGCCGCGCGTTCTTCACGAGCGTGACGGCCTCGTCGCGGCGCAGCCCCTGCACGAAGTAGAGGTACGCCACGCACGTGAGCGAGGCGCGGTTGATGCCCGCCGTGCAGTGCACGTACACCGTGTGCCCGCGGTGCAGCAGCACGTTCACCACCCGCACCGCCTCCGGTAGCATGAACGCCTGAGAACCACACAGTGGGGGCGGGAGGTGGTGGTGGGTGGACCCGTGAAGAGGTCAGGGGAGCGGGGGGGCCACGGAGAGGAAAGGGGTGAGTGCGTGGAGGGGGAGTGCTGTAACGAACGAGACCGAATCTGGAGTGGAATGTGGCAAAAGGAGGACTGGAAGGTGGGAAGGAATGGGAAGGGACATGAGAACGCTGCGAGCAGATAGGGAAGGAAAGAGGCGGGGGAGCGTGGTGGCACCTGGTCGCCGTGGTCGAAGTCTCTGATTGGCACTCGCGCCAGCAGCACCCCTCGCTCCACCGCCCGCGCCCGAATGCTCTCAAACGGAATCTGATGCGCCCACGCCCACCGCGCACCATGCAGCACCAACCAACAGCACCGCACCGCAGCACAGCGCAAGCAGCACACAGACCACAGCACGCAGAGCACAGCACGCAGAGCACCCGAGACAAGAGTGAATGCGGTAAGCACCACACAAGCCATGGTGAAGAGGAGAGTAGCGGTTGCAACTTCGCAGGTGGGTTGAGGGCGCGAGTTTCAGTTTCTGCTTGTGCCTAGCAACCAAGGAAAGCTTGATCGTACTTCCTCATATGCATTGATTCGTCTGGATTGTATGCAAAGCGTGCGTTCCGTATCGTTTTCGCGTGTGGTGTTTCAATAAATGCACCAGCTCGTTCTTCCGGCAGGTACCAGCTGGTAAGTTTGGCAGTGAGTGTGTGCGGGTGGGGCACCCACCTGCAGCGCGTCGAAGCAGAGGTCGGACTGCAGGTTCATGATCGCCGTCGCCCCCGCCTCGTCCGCTATGCGGTCCTGCCGCACGGCCAAGGGCGAAGGCGGGGCCCAGAGGGATGAGCGAGGGAAGAAACGCGCGCGCGGGACACACGGAGGAGCACAGGGAGACGGAGGGACAAAGAGGGACGAGCAGGGCGCGAGCATGCTGAAGCGAAGATGAACGCAAATACCGCTGCCTTATGCCGTGGGGTGCGATGGCTGTGAGCAGCAGTGGCGAGCAGAGCGGCAGAGGCGACAGTGACGCGAGTATGCGCGATAGCAGGGAACAGCAGGGCGGTGAGAAGAGGCTCAGGAGGGAGAGGGACTGACGACGTCATCCGGCGAGCGGGGGCAGGAGCCGACGATGAGGTTGGGCAGGATGTGGTTCCAGTTGAGCGTCCACCGCCACTCGTCCACCGCGCCCGCCTCCGCAGCCTCCGCCTCCTTCTCCGCCTTCTGCGCGGCCTCCTCCGCTGCTTCGCTCTGATGGCATCAAAGCACGACACGGCGGGGAGAATCCCGGACGAACAACGACGTGAACTAGCGATTAATCACAGGGGATATTACATGCAACGGATAACCGCCGTCAAAACGGCACAAGGTATTGATCGTTTTGGTTCACTGAAGCGATAGCTTCCATGGAACTGGAAGAAGTTGTAAGCACTAGAATGGCGACAATCGTAAAAAACTTTCAGAGAGATGAGATGGCTACACGTATGCACAAATTCTTAAGTAAGCGATGCCTACCCGCCGTTTCCGCCAGCCCTCTTTCTCCGCTTCGGTCAT